ACTTTAGATGGTGGAAACTGGCATTTTCGGACCCAGAAAACTTTGCTAATCTTTGAAAACACATTTTGATAATTTCATAGAGGGCTGCACCGATCATTTGCGTATGGTCTAACTTAAAATTTTGTCTACTAGTGTAGTGTAGTAGAAAAACAACAGCTTAAGTTGCATCGTGACGCACATTGAGATACGAAGAGTCGAGATTTGACAAAATTTTGGGATGCAAAAAAAACTGCTGCTTAACAGGTATTTTTTCAATTTGAGTGCGTTTATACATAATTCTCAATTAAGATCACTTCGTGAGGTCGGTTCGGAGAGTTATTAGACAACGCAATGCGTATCAATTTCTGAAGGCTGCAACCACGGTAATGTAACTTGAACTTGCTACTGGTGGTTTTTCGATGTAGTCGTCAAAGACATATTGCATCGAGGCATTTTGTAAAAAATCGAGACACGCAGAGTCAAATATTCTCCTAATAGATTTTTTTTGATCACTGTACAGTGGGGTTATGTAAAAAGAGACAGGATATTATGCAGGAACACAGGGGAGTAGGCGGTCTTCCCAATGATGCCCATTTTTTAAAAATCCTTAGGAAGTGATCTGTAAGTGATAAAAACCCAATATTATGCATCTTCATAAAACCTCTGTTTGATTGAACAGGATCTCTAGGAAACCAAGCCAAGCGAAGGAGATTTAAATTAGCAACGGAACAAAACATGTGAAGGGGAAACAAAGTCTACAATCTTTGAGCAGACACCAGCTAAGCCGAAAAAAACCTGATTTTGTAAAAACTACAAAAAAAAACACTAGCAACTAGAAAGAAAAATTGCAAAAATCGCATGGTTTGGCACCTAAGTCGACAAAATTGAACAGACAAACAAAACTTCAACAATTCAATTTTTGTCGGAAAAAAATTTCAGTTTCATGCATTCTGAAAAAATAAACTGTAGTATCTCTGTAAGATCTCTACTGAAACGCACAAAGGCAAAGTCTGTTTTTTTCCCGTCAAACGCACAAAATAGGAAAATTGGCTCAGCCGATATAACAACAAACGAAATCATTTCAGCGGAAAAAAAACAAAGCAAACAAGCCGGTTGCTGTGCAAGTAGCACAGAATGTTCGAAACTTTTTTCTTCCAGAAATTAGTGTCTTTCCTTGTGCGTCGCCCAATGATAGAGCTATACGAACGCGTAGAATTTTACTCAAATAGGCATTTATGAAAACTGGAAAATTTCATCCAAAAAAATGTGCGGCAGAATTGTTTTTTTTTACAAGCAAAGTTGATTATTTTCCTATATAGCGAACGTAACTCGATCGCTTTTATCGCTCTAAATTTGACTAAAAATCAGAAGGTTTAAACCTGTTTTCCTCGACTCATTTGGTTAACTTTTTGAAAAATTGAAGGTTCGAATCACGACTGAAAGAGCTCCAATATGATATATCACTCGACCCAGTCTGATTATTTGTGGTACCTGTTGCCGCGCTAAAAAATGCACCCGAATACAAAAATCCTTACCATTTTCAATAGACGGAACAGTAATTCGAACTTCGTAGTTTACATTTAACAGAGATTTTAAAACGAATAAGCCATTATTAAAACACATATCGGGAGAAGAGTCAAATCTGAAAAACAAAGAGAGAAACTGTAGTCGACCTAGTTTTCCCAGAAAAAAAGTCAATTTTCATACATACCAAAAAAAGATCCGGTGGGGACTCAAAACCTAGACCATGGAATCTATATATTGCGCTTTGGCACTTAATCAAGTGAGAAGAGGCCTGGAATATATTAAAGTTTCATAACAAAGCAAGGTCAAATTCTCACAGATTTGCAAGACCAGTTGTTTACGTGAAAAAAGCCCAGCAACCCCTTTCAAGTGCACATGCTCTAGGATAAAAAAAAAACCATGGTTGAGCTTGGCATAAATAAGAAGAGCTGACTCTGCGTCAGTATACTCAACAGCGAACCTTCCTCAGAAACAAAATAACCTAATCTGAATATTTGCTTAGCTCGCGGAAATTACGCTCGTGCGCTAAAAATTCAGTACAAATAATCCAACAGCTGGAGAAAATAAACACTATACTTTACTCACATTCATCTAAAAACTAGCTATTAATTATGTTTTGATCTAATGAACGTGAATTATTTTTTAATACGCGGTATGAAAATAAATAGATACATCGCTCACGTTTTAGCATCAAAAGAAACTTGAAATCAGTTTTTACGACTGTTACAATCACAAATGCACGTTTCCAAGTTTTATCTAAAACAATTCACAAAGTGTAACGAGAAACAATACTTGGTTTATCTCATTTTCGACTGAGAAGTGCACTTAATTTAGAAGTAACTAGTTTCAAAATATTGTGTTATAACTGTGATAGTAACACAATGATAAGCTCTTCGAAATAGATCGAAAGAAGTTTTATTTTGAGACAAAAGACGATATTCTAATGAGGAGAGCTGAAAAACTTCTGCAAAAGTTCAAATCAACTTATCATCTCAAAAAAAATCCACTGCCGATAAGAAACTTTTTTTAAAGCTCCAAGCCTCCATTTCTTACTTCATCACTTTCAATACAAAAGGAAATAAGCACTTGTAAGTTTCTGTCGTCTTCAGAGAAATACTAAGCCATCACGTTACACGCTCGCGTTGTGTCAAAAGACGCTCAGAGGAGCGCACAGGGATTTCAGTTGAGCTTCATCCGGAAAAAGTGAAAAATTTTCACATGGCGCATTAACTTGTGACACTTTCACTCAAATCGTTCGCATTGAGAATTAGCAAAAAAGCCACAAGTTTCCATTTCAAAGTGCAATAAGCAATTGGTATGCTACGTTGTGGCCTTTCAATGAGGAAAATTTTTGAAAGACTTAATTTTTTCCATATTTTACATTATTTAATTCAAGATGATCACATAGAAATCTAGCGACGGCACAAACTGAGGATTCAAGACGATCAGGAAGACCAAAGGCATTGAACGTGAGGTCAGTTCGAAGAGTTATTAAACAGCGCAATGCCGATCCTTTTTTGAATGCTACTACCACGGTACTGTAACTTGAACTTACAGCTCTCACTATTAGGAAAATTTTGCTTTCTGGTGGTTTTTCGCTGTAGACGACCGTTTCGAGGCCCATTTCTTTTGTAGAGACATCGTCAAAGACATATTGCATCGAGGCAATTTGTCAAATATTCCATCAACAGATGTTTTTACCACTGTAAAGTAGGGTAAGGTAAAAAGAGACCATGATACTATGCAGGAACACAGGGGGAGTAGGCGGTCTTCCCAATGATGCCCATTTTTTAAATAAAAATCCTTAGGAAGTGATCTGTAAGTGATAAAAAAACCAAAATATCATGCATTTTCATAATACCTCTGTTTGTTTGAACAGGATCTCTAGGAAACCATGCCAAGCGAAGGAGATTTAAATTAGCAACGGAACAAAACATGTGAAGCGGAAACAAAGCCAACAATCTTCGAGCAGACACAAGCTGAGCCAAAAATAACCTGATTTTATAAAAACTACAAAAAACACTAGTAACTAAAATGAAAACTGCTAAAATTGCAAAAAACGCATGGTTTGGCACCTAAGTCGACAATAATTGAACAGACAAACAAAACTTCAACAATTCAATTTTTGCCGGAAAAAAATTCAGTTTTATGCATTCTGAAAAAATAAACTGTAGTATCTCTGTAAAATCTCTACTGAAACGCACAAAGGCAAATTCTGTTTTTGCCCGTCAAACGCACAAAATAGGAAAATTGGCTCAGCCGATATAACAACAAACGAAATCATTTCAGCGGAAAAAAAAACAAAGCAAACAAGCCGGTTGCTGTGCAAGTAGCACAGAATGTTCGAAACTTTTTTCTTCCAGAAATTAGTGTCTTTCCTTGTGCGTCGCCCAATGATAGAGCTACCCGAACGCGTAGAAATTTACTCAAATAGGCATTTATGAAAACTGAAAAATTTTATCCAAAAAAATGTCCGGCAGAATTGTTTTTTTTTACAAGCAAAGTTGATTATTTTCCTATATAGCGAACGTAACTCGATCGCTTTTATCGCTCTAAATTTGACTAAAAATCAGAAGGTTTAAACCTGTTTTCCTCGACTCATTTGGTTAACTTTTTGAAAAATTGAAGGTTCGAATCACGACTGAAAGGGCTCCAATATGATATATCACTCGACCCAGTCTGATTATTTTTGGTACCTGTTGCCGCGCTAAAAGATGCACCCGAATACAAAAATCCTTCCCATTTTCAATAGACGGAACAGTAAATCGAACTTCGTAGTTTACATTTAACAGAGATTTTAAAACGAATAAGCCATTATTCAAACACATATCGGGAGAAGAGTCAAATCTGAAAAACAAAGAGAGAAACTGTAGTCGACCTAGTTTTCCCAGAAAAAAAAGTCAATTTTCATACATACCAAAAAAAGATCCGGTGGGGACTCAAAACCTAGACCATGGAATCTATATATTGCGCTTTAGCACTTAATCAAGTGAGAAGAGGCCTGGAATATATTAAAGTTTCATAACAAAGCAAGGTCAAATTCTCACAGATTTGCAAGACCAGTTGTTTACGAGAAAAAAGCCCAGCAACCCCTTTCAAGTGCACGTGCTCTAGGACAATAAAAAACCATGGTTGAGCTTGGCATAAATAAGAAGAGCTGACTCTGCGTCTGAATACTCAACAGCGAAATAAAAAGACCTAATCTGAATATTTGCTTAGCTCGCGGAAATTACGCTCGTGGGCTAATAATTCAGTACAAATATTCCAACAGCTGGAGAAAAAAAACTACATTTTACTTAAATTCATCTAAAAACTAGCTAGTAATTTTTTTTGATCTAATAAACGTGAATTATTAATACGCGGTATGAAAATTATTAGATACATCGTTTCACGTTTTAGTATCAAAAGAAACTTAAAATCAGTTTTAACGACTGCTACCATCACAGATACACGCTTCCAAATTGTTTCTAAAAACAAATAACAAAGTGTAACGAGAACCAGTACTTTGTTCCTTTATCTCTTTTTCGACTAAGAAAAACACTTTACTTAGAACTAGTTTCAAAATATTGCGTTATATCTGTGATAGTAACACAATGTTAAGCTCTTCGAAATAGATCGAATGAAGTTTTAGTTTGAGACACAAGACGATATTCTAAGGAGAAGAGCTGGAAAATTTCTGCAAAAGTTCAAATCAAATCATCATCCCAATAGAATATCCACTGCCGATAATCTTCTAAGAAACTTTTCTTGAAGCTCCAAGCATCCATTTCTTACTTCATCACTTTCAATACAAAAGGAAATGAGCACTTGTCAGTTTATGTCGTCTTCAGAGAAATACAAAGCCATCAGTTACACGCTCGCGTGGTGTCGAAAGACGCTCGGAGGAGTGCACAGGGATAAAGGCCGATAAGTTAGTAGTCCGAATGTTTCTCTAGCACAGGCGTCTTTGATCCCGATACATTTCCATGCACCAAATTAGAGTCAAGGCCAAGGGCTCTCTTCCGGTTACAATTCTGCCTACTGGGAGACATTGGAATAGGCGTGAAGGCTGATCTGGGTCCCCCTCCCGACACTGCGGAGGACATATTCTCAAACCTCCCGGAGGTGGTGGAGGCAGATGTCCTGTTATTGTTCCCATTGCACGCGGTTGAGAATCCATTGTGGTCCATACTATGGCTGCTTTGCAGGCCTAGTATGTTCCTGTTTGCGTCCCTATAAGCGTCCATAGCTGAGCTAGACGAAATTTGCGACCCATTCAATTGAGAGTTTTCACTTGGCCGCAGAGCCGAATCTGCTGCTATCGTATTGGGCTTCGCAGGGCCGTTTGAGGCTTTGAACCCTATGAGAAGCATAGTACCGTGTTTTATTGGCTGACAGTCCAGACCATACAGCCTGGATGTCAAACTAGGCGAGGCACTCACCCACCCCTCACTCTGACTAATGAACGGCTGCTCAACATTAGCTGTGGTGGTCAAGGACAGCCCGTCGGACTCCAGGGTAACCTCAATTCTCTGTGAGCTGTCCCTCGGAGCAGTCTGTTGCTGGTGGTAATCGGAGGATTCGCTGTGACTGTGGTGATCGTTGTGGACGACTGTGATGTTGCTCACTTTGGCGAAAGTGAGACAGTTGCTGCCTGTGGACTGCATGAGGTCTTCAGTGGTGATATTCTCGATTCTCTTCAGATTCTTGTTCGACAGTTCAATCACACTGCCACGGTTGAAATGTGAGGAGGACAACGCACTCTCCAGTGTAGCACACATAGTAGTAGTAGTACTGATGCGACTCTCACCCCCACCTCCATCACTGATCATTCCCTCCTTGTCAACCGAAGAAACCACACCCACTCCGAATTCTAATCCACTCGACCCATTAAACTGTCGCTGGTGTTCCCCTCCATTTGAGGCCACACTCTCCCCATAAGTGTTTATTTGCCCATTATTCATGGCTCTATCGTGGTCATTGTACAGTTGGTTATATGCACTGTGTCCACCAATGTGACCATTGACATTCTGGCTTTTGGGGAAACTGCCTCTGTGTCTCATTCCGTCCTGGTCTTTCTCTCGCCGGTTGATATTCACACTCTCTTCACTAGCACAACTCATCTCCCTCGTGTTTTGATAAACCATCTCAACTCCCCCAAAGCCTCTCACAGGTGTCGATTGTGAGTTGCTCGAAAGTGTCTGCTGTTTCCTCTCCTCTTCCCCCTCCTCGGTTCCATTTTGAGGTATCCGAGGCAGTTCCTGGTGGCGGATGTCCTCGTGGTTGTTGTCGTTCTCCGATAGCATTGCACTGTCGTTGTCATTTTCCTCGTGGATGTCGTAGAGTGAATTCTCCGTGTCTGAAATGACAATCAAGTTAAAGCAGTTACATTACAACATGATCAACAAGTTTTGAAAACAACCACTTCACACCTTGGTTACTTTGGTTTTTGTCACTAGAGCCAAACATTGATCAACCAGATAAAGATGACTCATCGAAGTTGCATTTAAAAGAAACTGGAAAATTCCAATACCTGACACAAAGAATTTAAAATTTTTGCTTTTCTAGTTTGCATGCTTTTGATTTTTAAAGGTGGATAAATCACGACCAAAAGGGTATCAAAATGGTCTATCACTCGGCTCCATATGAAAATATTTGTAGCACCAGACTTTTTTTGGGGTAAAACTAATCCACAACTCTACGCCTTCTTTGGTCGGATCAAATACGTAGAACAGTTGGAAAAAATTCAATGAAACGTTTTATGCAAGAAAAAACGTTTAGAAACGTTGTTTTTTCTAAGCCAAGATTTTTTGGATTCTTGGTAAAAAGCAAGAGCACAAAACTAATTCAATTATCCCTGAGCAATCTCATGTAAAAACAAGTTTCCCAACTATTTCAGCTCCCAGCTCATTTCCCAAGTGTATCAATAAAATATGACGCATTATCGAACTGGCATTATTCTAGAATCTTCCGCGGAATAGCTAATTGTTAATCAGCTCTAAAACAAAAGAAACACGCGAAGAAAACAAATGTTTAAAACAATGTTTTGAATAATTCATGATTCTTTGCTGCGAAAAAACCAGCAAAAAATCATCCGCTTATTTAGATGAAAAAATCACTTCGCTCATTTACAATTTGAAAATCAGGTTTCAAAGTGTACACATAAAGTTTGTGTTAAAAACGGAGAATGAAAACGAAGCCAACAAATTTTCAACCGAAGCAAGGAAGCCAAACGCTCAAAAAAACGCAAGAAAATTTCCAAAAAAGATTGAATATGTGAGAAAGGCCACTAAAATTCTTTAACTTGACCTTTAGAAAAAAAGAAAGTGGCAGCAAAAGTGATTTAATATTTACTTTTGCTGCCGCTGATTTAGAAGGCCAAAGAAAACTGGAATTGATGTAAAAATTTTCTGTTTAAAAACATTCTGATGTGTTCACAGATGTATATTATTAGTCACAATTTTTTGAGAAGCTAAAAAAATTCAAAAAAGTCAATAGAAACCGGGCCAAACCTATAGCCTCAACATCTAACTTACTGAATTCCGTCTCAGCCTAGCAATTCAAAGAGCCAGAATACATTTATCTACAACTATCAGATTTGTAGAGAAAATACCGGCTGATCGGAAAGCTAATTAGGCGAATCACATAACTCGAGTAATTAGCAACAACAAGATTCCAAACTAAACCCAGAGTCGAAGCGGAGCAACAAAAACATAAAAACATAAGAGGTCGAAATAATGACAAGTTAAAAAGATATTGAATAAGAATTTTAAATTTCTCGAGGTCTCGATAGAAATTCATTACGGAAAAATCCCAAACCTTGAATAATAAACACAGAGGTGAAGCTGAGCTTCGCACTACTTGCGATACAAAACAAGAAAAAAATCAAAAAGGTTGAAAATACTAGACAATTAAAATGAATAAGGCTAGTTTTGAACATGCCAATAAGCATCGAAAGATAATGTACCCAGCGGTAACAAAGCCAAAAATAGCTTGCCAGAAACCCTTTAGGCCAAAAAAATCAACAAGTCTTCAAACTTCTGAAAAATTAATCTCTACCTCACCCTCAAAACACTTAAACTGCTCGTCGAATGAAACAATATGAGGCCACTAAGCCGATATAAAGTAGGCCGAAACCTATTCAGCGCAGAAATAGAAAAAAAGCCGAAGAAAATTTAAGACTAAAAAGAGGTTATTAAGTCCCCCTCAACCTCAAAATACAGACACGCACTCAAGAAACTTTTTTCGCTCGTCGAAAGACGCAATATGAAGCCAATAAGCCGATATAATATAGGTCGAAACCTATCAAACCGAAAAAAAGGGGGATAATTAAAAAACAATCTGGAAAGAAATGTTATCACGAAAAACTTGAACTATATTTCTAATAAAAATTTTAGCATTTTGTTCGATCCAGATGCCAGCATTAAAAAATTTTTCCATTGAAACAATTCAAAATTAGGTCACTAAGCCGATAAAAAACAGGCCGAAATCATTCGGGCAGAATGAAGTTTCTGAACGAGAAAAAAATATAAAATAATATCAAGTTTAGTAAATATAAGTCAAGTTTAGTAAAATTACAAACAGCAGAGGTAAATCGGAACACTAAAAGCAACTCTAAAGTAAAAAAACTTTCAAAAAATTTCTAAAATATGGCAGCTAAGCCGATAAAACAAGCAGACAATAATACGCCGGCATTTTTTTTGAAACGGACTATCCCCGTTTCAAACTACTATTCCCCGTTGAGTTGATCCGAAAAAACTGTGATTGAAGACGTTTTAAGTCTCACCTGAAGCTACAATGAACAACGATTGCACTTGCAACTACAATGAAAGTTGCTTTTAGCACAAGAAAAATCAGTAATGTAGCAACTAAGCCGACAATTTTTGAGCAAACATCAGTTGAGCCGAAAAAAAAACTAATTTCATGAAAAAAAAAATCTTTCAATTTCCCCCTGATGCTGACTGAACAACACAAAACTTGCACTTGATTGAAAATTGCATACCTCACAAGGCAAAATGCGTGATGTGACAAGAGCAGATAAATATAAGTCCGGTAATACATTTTTGAGCAGACAAACAAAAGTCCGAGAATACAATTTTAACCAAATTTTTCTTCGATTGCAAAATAGAAAAATAAATAAAGTCCGGGCGAGACGCGAACCCCAGACATTAGGATGCAAAGGAAACGGCGTTACCCTAGGCCAATCGGGAAGGAACCTGGAAAACTTTAGGGTTCAAAATTAAAGGAAATATTTGTCAAAAGAACAGTAAAGAAAAGAATTTAAGCTGAAAAACAAACTGTTGTCATAAAAAATTTTGAGCTATAAAGTTTTTACGAAAAACATGAAAGCATGAAAAACTATTTCACTGCAACATAACTTGACTAAACTGAAACTAAGCAATATAATTTGATTCAACTGAAATAACAAACCGGAACTGTTGAATCGAAAAAAAAACCTTATAAATCACAAATTACAGAACTTTCAATCATAATAAATAACCTGTTCAAATTAAAAGAAATCTTGTGCTTTGGAAAATCAGAGTAAAATTGTACCAGATAAAACAAACGTTTAAAAAAAATGGAAAACGAGCCAATGGAAACAAGGACGAAAACCACGAATACGAAAAAAAAAATTTTCTTCAAGAATTTTATTTAAAAAAAGCTATTACCTGCAACGAACTTCCCCTAAATACTACCAAAATGATGGTAGTTTTATTTAAATTTTCTAAAAATTGAGCATGTCAGCGGTCTTCACGTCAGCAGTCAGAAAATTAACATCCCTACTAAAATTGAGCATTCTGTGAACAAAGTTGTTTACAGGAAAAAAAAGTCTTGACAACAGGATTTATACATTGCTATCTTTTGGCTAGAAAAACACTTAAAAAAACTCGAAAAGAAAAAAAATCAAAAATAACACCGCTAAAATTAGTTTTTTTTTCAAATTAGGCCCGTTTTGTCGGTGATGTGATGAGAAGCTCTGAACAAAAAGCTGGGAAATAGAATATTCGATAGTCTTCAAAAATGCATTGATCAAAACAGTTTATACCCTCGTAGGCGCTAAAAAAACTATTAAAATACCAATAGACCGTAAAAATCTTAATACCCAAAACATAAGAAAATAAGGATAGAAGCTTATTGTTCGAGTAGCACAGAATGATCCGACCATACTATTAAAAAACACATAAAAATGCTTTTCCATGTTTTTTTCAATTAAGTGTTTTTTGTGCATCGTGTGATAAAAGGATCTGACGAAAATCTAGAAATTAGGCATATTCGACTTTCATAGTAAAACACACAAATTGGAAAACAGTTTGTGTAGAAAAATGCAAGAACAAAATTCAACCATTTTTTCAGTTTTTTTTGCAGTGTTTTTGATTCCCAAAAGGTGCTAAAATACTCAAAAACAGTACCTTCACTCGAGTATAATTTTTTGAGGCTTAAAATAAGCTATTGCAAACCTGCTCGCTCGAATTAAGACGAAAAATAAAAAAAGTTCAAACCAATTTTTCTCAACACCAGGAAAACTTTTTCAAAAATTTTCTATGTCGTTCGAATTACGACTAAACGTGCTTTAAAACGATATATCATTAATACGAAGTTCCTCCCCATTTTTGAAATGGTTGGAACAAGGAAAAACTTTAAGCTAGAGGCCCTCTGCTACTTAAGCGACTTAAAAATCAACAGTTAGGGTGTTTGATACTTTGCAAAACTGGCCAATTTAAGACTTAAACTTGCTGAGCTAAAAGTTAGTCTATAATTATTTAGAACTAGAACGAGAAATGTTGGTTTCATCTGGCATTTGGTTGGCGATGGACTGACAGACTCACTGTTAGTTGCATTGAAGGGGGCGGAGGAGGAGGGACTGAGGAGGGGACTGCACTGTTCAGAGCCCAGAGGACTGGACACGTTGGAGGTGGTGGGACTGCTGCCACTGTTGTTGCCACCACCGCCACCAGTCTGACTGGCCGGGTGAGTGGGACTGGACCTGTTCAACTTGTAATGGATCTTGGCCGGATATCTGGTCGAAATCGAAGGCAGAGACGAGGCCGAATTCAACAGAAAACCACTGTTGTTATTATTATAACTACTATTGTTGTTGTTGTTGTTGTTGTTGATATTTACCCCTCCGTAACTACTCACTCCCACATGTACACCCCCGCCTTGGGTGCTTCTCGTACCTGACATGGTTCCATTTGAGCAAGTGCTAATCGCAGTGTGCGGTGGTGTGTTGGATACGACGCCGTAGCTGTAGCACTGGGGATGTTGCTGCTTCGTATTACTGTTTGTGGTATCAGGGTGCGATATAAGCTGCATAGGCTGTGTGTGATAAGAGGCGGCGGCGGAGGGGTTGTTTAGACTATGTTCTAAATTCTGAGATGGCGAAAAGGGGTCATTGGTTCTGTTTATCTGGTTATAACTGTTATCTCCACCGCTACCAACTGAAGCACTGTAAATTGACGTTGATGTATCCATTTAAGATAATTTTTAGAAAAGGAACTTATGTAGAATAGAGATTTTTTGTTTGGTAAATAAACGCTAATAACTCAACAAGATAAATGAATGAAGATTGGAAAGACACAGTGATATAGAGATAGAACAATTACCAGTTCTCGATTTTCAAGTATGAAACAAAACGAACTAAACTTAAGAATGAAGCACCTCAATTGCTCAGCTTAACCAAATTCTAGAAACTAATTAGCAGGTGAGGAGGAAAGAAGATAGTTTAAGATGAAAAACAACGATAATCATAAGAAAAACCAGATACAAACACAAAACAACAGCCTGATCTGCTAGTGGGGTATACACTTTAGAAGTATAGGCATTGATAGAAGCAGTTGATTTTTTCTCGCTCTCGGTTTCTGATTACCACAAGTCATTTGGTTACAATATCACTATCCACTGACATAGAAAACCTGAAAAAAAGTACATAATCAAATTGAAAGATGCTTCAGCACTTCAACAGGAGTAAATAATACGAGACATTCTCAGAGGAAACTTTTTCTGCATTTACAAAAACTGATATAAGGACCACTCGTCGAACCCCTGCCGACAAAAAGAGTACCTCTTTCAGGGACGGATCTAAGATTTTCTCGAAAGGGGGGGGGGTGCGGATTTTCAAAAAATTCGAAAATTTTACCCATTTTGACCTTTTTTTAGGTCGACTTAACTGATTTTCCGAGATCTGCGAAAGCACCAAAAAGACCTTGTTTTGGCCACATTTTCTGCACCGCAGGCAAAATATAAAGAAAAACAGACCGAAAAGGTTTTTAGGCTTTTTCCAAAAAAGCCTAAAAACGCCTTTTTCGGTCTGTTTTTTTTTTATTTTTAAGATATTGTGTTACTATTTTGAGATATCCATTTTTTGGCCGACTGACAATGGTTTAAGACGGTTTATCCACAATGGAAAGGACCAACATACGAGCTATTCAGCTCTTCACGGAGAACCGCTGTTTCGCCCCTGTTTAAGATCTACATGCAAACTTTTCTTTTTTGGCCTGTTTTCGCATAAAAATTTGATCAAAAAAGGGTTTTAAAGTGATTTGGGAGAGCTCAGAAAATTAAATTTGGTCGACAAAATTTTGAAATTTGTTGGAAATTCCGCCCCCCTCAAGAAAGCCCTAGATCTTTGCCAGTGTTAAGCATAAAAATGACGTCATATATTCTTATTACTCGACATAGCTATTTTCACACTTTTTGCTATTGCTCCAAACAGCCGAACTACCCAGTGGGCTACTGTTGTTTTGTATCCTGCCAAAAAAAGGATACTACTGACGACAAAAAAGGAAACAATTTAAGGGCCTGTTCCATTAAAAGTTTAAGGAAGGCAGCCAGCAGAGTAACTTGACATCAACCCGCCATAGAGTCTAAAATTGAAAATTCTATTTGAAAATATTTGAAATATCATAAAAAACGTCATAGCTTAAAAATTGAAAGGGTTTGAGCAATCATATTTGATTGAAGGCCCAATCTCCAATTGCATATCTCGAATACTTCAAGTTTCGGAAACTAAAAGGGGTTGAGCAGTCATACATGAAGGCCAGATATAACACTCCTGAAAGCATGTTGACAGTATCCTCACCACACCATAGAAAAAAAAGAATTTCAGCAGAGGCGAAGTTTAGCTTCTTAAACACGACAGAAAGAACACGACAAAAAATGCAGCTCTATTAAGCCAAATAAGAAAAAATAGAAATAAGCCTCGAATTAGTGAAAAAAAATTCGGATTTGAGCTACGTGTCGGATTTGAGCTTGCGACAAAGAGATTAAGAACGCCACGCATTTACCACTCAGCCACGGACGCTTACAGCTCAAAACAGTAGCCACAAATAAAGCAGAAAACAGATGCTACGAAATTTCCAATGCTACAGATCGTGATTATAGCAAAAGTGCATTCGCGAGTTAGATACTAGGAACAAAAGAAGGTTCGTACTAATACACTACGCTCGCAAGTAAATAAATTGGGAAAGATCTCGACAAATTATGAAAAAACGACATATTTCGTAAACTTATACTGGTGGAAACTTCAAATTGCCGCCAACAAGGGGAAGGATTTTTCATGGGGTTTGTTCACTCCAAGTGCCCAAACAACACTAGGCACTAGTAGATGTTTTAGTGAGTAACTGAATGTGACCAATAACTTTAACCGGGAATGTGTTTCCTTCTAATAATTTATACTAATGACTTAAGAAAAAAACGTGATAAAATAAAGAATTTAACTATTCTTGAGACAAAAGCTTATTTCGCTTTCTTAGAAGAACCATTTCATCATTATCTAATTGTACAATTCACAATGCGAACATCAGTTGCGCTAATAATATCAATTACTTTGTAATTTCAAATTATTGTCATCTACAGTTATTTTATTCTATATTTTTTCTATCTGTTAATGAGCATTGTTGGCTTCCGTCGAACGAATAGTTTAGTAGAGGAAACACCTTTATTGCAAAATTACTAATATTGCAATTAAACAACGACTAGCTTCACGTATGGTTTTGTTGCTCGCTATTAATTGAATAGCTCATTAAAAATTTCATCAACTTTTCCATTACTATTTATAATTTATTTACATAGCAGAGAAGATAGACAGTGGAAAGCCCCAGGTGGAGATTAGAATTGTTGCAGAGCAGAAGATATTCGGAGACTGATCATCTAAAAAGAGCACTTTGTAATTTTGTATATTCGCATTAAAATTCCACTTGGCAGTCCTGCTTCTATTTCTTAGTTTTCTCTCTACTCAATCTGTCTTCAATGGACTCCTTCTTCAGATATCGATTGAGGGCATTGTTCTCACTTTTCATCCACTGAAATATACGGACATTGTAACCACCAAAAATCTAAATAGTAACCATTGTAGTTCAACATTATTTTTATATTTTGTCGAGCACAGCTGTTTTTTCTACGTCAAGAAATTTCAGGTGGTACCATTATTGCAGCCGTAAATTATGAGGCACCTACCATAGTGGCAAGGCGTTCGCTTTGAGATCATCAAATCATGTAATCGATCCCCTACCATGGCAATGTCCCCTACCTACCAATTTCACTTGACATCTAGCTTCAAGTCTACCACATCCTGACCAATTACGGCTGCAATAGTGGTACCACCTGAAATTTCTAGACGCAAAAAACGGCCAAAATAAAACAATGTAGGACAAATGAATAGCCAGCAAAAGTTTGTTTTAGTGCAGAAATAAAAAAACATACTTTCTAGGAAATTCAGAACTTACTATAAATCATAATAAATTAAATTTTTTTTATTATGATTTATTTGGATGCTGTCGAGTATTATACCTGAGGTTGCGAATCTATCCTAAAAATGGCCTTCTGAGTCTTTTTAGTTTTGACGCAAAATTACCTGAATTTGCGTAGAAAACAAAAAGAAAGAAAACTGAACTTTTTAAAATTGGTCAGAAGAACAAAGTGTTTTGAACTGAAAATCCCTAAGATATAAGAGCTCGTGCAACTTAACGATGGACGCCTGATGCCAGTTCTATCATATACAAAGTTACTCCATTCAAATAACAAATCTGGGTTTTGCTACACTAGTGGACAAAATTAAGCGCAAATTCATTTTTAAACCCTGAAGTTCTTCTTTGATGGATTAAATTTAACCAAATGATTAAATTTAACCTCTCAGAGGTTTCAAGAACTAATATTTTTTAGTTTACAAATTAATATTTTTGGTGGTTTCAAGAACTAACCACCGGGTCCGAAAAAGCCACTTTTATCATCTGCATTAAGCATCGCTCTGCACATAAGAAACTTTTCTCGAACAAAGGAATTAAAACAAGTTTTTCATGTAAAAACATTTTGCTTAACTGTTTTATACAATTTCACGTGATTTGAAAACTTGGTGCAGCTAGTAAACACTGATAATTTAAGACCCTGAATAATCTGGTAAGTCCTTGAAGCCAGAACCGGATAATTTCATAGAGATTAGCTTAAATTATTTGCTTTCAGAGTCAATTCAAAGTTTTATTCTAATCTATACATTGTCTAATTGGCGTTTCACTTGACACATGTTTAAGAAGTCTCTATATTGACATGTTTAAAAGAAATGTCAATTTTTTTCAACCTTCAATGTGATTTTTTGAATTCAACGTTTTAGATGTCCAAGGTCATCTATTATTTTATTTATACATGTGTTGAAGCAAGAAAGCTTTAACTGTACATTTTTTCCCTTATTTGGTAAATCAAACTTTTTGAAGCTTTTCGTATTAGTGTTTATCTGACAAAATTGAAATTCTCAACTCGATGTTGCTGTGACATCAGGGCACACTCAGGAGTTGCAAACAAAAAGAAAAAAACTAAAACACCCGAACACAAAGTTCCTCCCCATTTTCAATAGTCGGAACAATAAAAAATTAATTATATTTCGTCATTTGTTCGATTCTGATTGCTCAATACAGTATTTGTCTACTTTATGACGTATCTACATCATGGTTTGTCTACTTTGTGCAAAGTAACCCTCCAAGGGTACCAGTCCTATTTTCTGTTATTATGATTGTTATTATGGGGCATCATTTAACAGGCTGCAATTAATGCGAAAACTTTGGGCCGCACTCTGTTGTGAGTTTATATGTTATTTGGGAAACTCATAGAGTAATTTCAGATAAGGTACACCGTCTGCTCGTCACGCTATCTTATTTTCGGCCGGATAGATTCGTGCAACTTCTTAGTCTAATACCAATCTTAATCTTACTCTTATATCTCCTAGTCTCAATAGATCTAGTGTACACCGGTTTACGCGAGTTAGTTCCAGAATGAGAACAACTGTATTCTAAGTTTAATTCAAATTGTTCTGGTGTTGAAACTACAAGTAGTTTCAACTATTTACAAATAAATAGGTTGTTAGTTTGATGGAGTATGATTGGTTAGTATTTAATATTTTATAGAGATAAAATATCATAATAATATCCAATAATAAATTCTAGTTTAGATCTGGTTCATAATTGTTGTCTTAAGAAAAAAAAATTGAAGATAAAAGTTTTCAGGGCCCATTCGAAATGAAAAACAATCTCATCAAAATATATTTTCCCCACGAAATTACGCGCAATTTCTGTTGAATATGCCGACATAATAAAACCCGGAACTGTTCGGAGGGTAAAGTTAACATTTGTGTAGCCCACCAGATATCACTTGAAGTGTTTTTTTTTTCTATCGTCAGGGGCGGATCTAGGATTTCCTTGAGGGGGGGGGGGATTTTCAAAAAAAATTCGAAAACTTTGACGACCTTTTTTTTAGGTCGACCAAATTGATTTTCCGAGCTGTCCTAAAGCACTACCTTCCATTGTTGATATTGTTGTGGAGCTTCCTTCGGACATTGGCTGCAATATTTGTCACCACAGAGGGCGAGCACGAAGGAGGCGACAGACGGGAACCCGCAACTGGGGAGGAGCTGCCCGGGAACCTAGAATTGCCCGTGAAACTTCCCTGTGTGATTATTGGCGGAGAATTGGCGACAGACACGTGGAACATTTTGTGTTTCATTTTGGACGGAATTCTCTCGACAGCATTGCGCTTAAACCTGTAACGACAAATACTCACTAAACTTCCAATCCAATACTATAATAAAACTACTCGGATAATAAAGTCAAAGAGAGTGCATCAAATGTTGCCTTTTTTTCTAACGGGTGGTTAGAGGAACATAATTGGGTCTCTTATTTGAAATATTGCTTCTCACCTGCTTCCCAGCGTATTTGGTGGCAGAGGCGGTTTGGGTGGGACTGTGGACGCAGACGCAGTGTGACTACTGGGTGTGCTGTAGTGGGGCAGATTGAAGTGTGAGTGGGGGTGGTGGGGGGTAGTTGGAGAGGGGGAGAGGGAGGAAACTCCACTGGCACTGTGTGGCGGTGGCATCTGGGGTTTGAGTAGGTAGTGTTGCGTAGCACTGTCACTCTCACTGCGATTCAGCTGCACAACACAAACTCACTCTAATATCATTCTCAACAAAGGCGAAGCGGGGCGAAATAATAAAAACAGTTAGAAATAAACAAGCGCTCACATAAATGTTATTTTCCATTCTGAAATAGAGCCGACAGAGCTTCAGCCGTAGATCAAAAAAGTCGAAAGACAACAAAAAATAAAATCAAAGTTCTATCATTACATATACCATTTTGCCCACAATTGCACCAAAAAAAGCATCAGCATCTAACTGAAAATTTTCTATTTCTCATGCAAAAAAGTTTGTATGCTCACTCGATCTCCCGTAAGTGTTCTTTTTTTTTCTTGGTAACAACGTACTGGTTACTTGCTGTAAACAACCCAACAACACCACTAGTCTGACCAATGAAACTAAACGACTTTGTCCTCGGTTGTATTTAACTTTTTTTACCACGCAAAATAAGGATCTACAAATAAACTTCGAATGGGTCGAGTATATATCATGTTAAATCCTTTTCAAGAGTGATTCGAAAAACACATATTCTGTTGAGAGCAACTGGCTTGAAAATTTTGATGTTTAGTTCTATTTCGGGCAAACAAAGCAAGCCTTAATAGGGCAATCAGCTTTTATTTAGGCCGTTAACTTTTCTTCCACAAAAAATGGAATCCTTTTTTCGCGCTTTCTTGGGAGGAAAAACTTTGAAAATAAAAAAAATTACTGCAAAAAGTTAACTTTTTGTTTTGAAATGTCTTGATTTTTTTCTTTTCGTTTTGTCGAATATGCTTAACTTACTATTACTATTTGATATGCTGAAGTTCTACCTTTTCGATCAGATCCCCTGTTATACTCTATTTATATTATTTATATGCCGTAGGTAACGGTGGTTGTCTCCATCAACTGGAATACTGTTCCATATAATGTATTTATTGAATTCAGTTAATAAAAAACGTAAGTCTATTGTTCAGGTACAAACAATCTACAACGAACACGGGTTAGACATGCACTGCCTTCAAGGCCGAACATAAATAATTCATTAAATCGAATAACTTAGGATGTCTGTTTGGATGACAATTCTCCGGCTACTTCAAAATGAAAAAGGAGTTTTTCATTGCTTTCATCATAAATTTAAACTCCCGTTTCTTCTCTTCTTGATTTTTATTGTTGTCCTTTTCGTCCTTCATCACTCCTGGGTTCTCTTGGTTTTCATCTATTTAATTCTCCGCCCGCTTTACTCGCTTTCAGACGACAATTTGATGACCTCTATGCCGTCTGTTTTTGATGCTTTTGGAACCAATGTCTGTAAGAATTTGAGACAAGCCTTCACATCTGCGTGTTCCGCGCGACCCTCCTGAATAGCCATGGCTTCGAATAACTCTTTGAGTGACTATGCTTCCTGGCTGGGTGACAGTTTTGGGGTTGGTTTCTTTTTGCCTTTAGAACGTTCATGACCGGAATTGGGTTTTTGAGTTTATTCGCTAGAGTCCTCGTTCGTGAGGACGCCCTGGTTGGGGGTGGTGTCTTCTCGGTGTCCCACTTTTTGTTTTGCGGTTCTTGTGTGGCTTCGTTGTCCGATGATGAGGGTGAAATCTCCGAATCTGACGCTGTTATAAAGAACTGCTTGCCTCTTGGCTTGTGACTCCATCCGTTCTCTTCCCGTGTTGTCTCTCCCTTAGTGTCAGTTTGCTGATTGCTGGTTCCATGCTCCCGTTGGTTTATTGTCCTGTTCTGATTGCTATCATCAGTAATGGCCTTCTTCATCTTTTCGTAGTTGCCCTCCACAAACGTGGGATGGGTCGGCACTTTTGGGTTTTCAATGTCTAAAAACCGATAGCTTTTATTATGTTAGCTGAATTGTATGCCACAAACGCAAATCCGCTGTTCCTCAAGAGTCTCGATTGTTTCCTGGAAGTTTGGACCCATACTGTAGGTGGGGTATATGTTAGTATTTTCCCATCTTGTTTTGTATTCTTATGGCAATTGGGTCGGATTGTACTTTTTGAACTATTCTTACAGATTTCCTTCCGCAGCTTAACTCTCGAACCTTGAGTTTCAGTCCTGTCACTATTTCGGCTGATGATCTCGGGATGTTAGCCCCTTTGGGCCCTGCGCTTAATGACAACCTCGTCTTCGCACTATCGATCTATGTGCAACTCGCTTAATAGAGCATGATGGTCTGTAACAAATGTAAATTTTTGACCCTTAAAATAATATCTGAAATGCTCTACCGCCCTAACTACCCCTAATAATTTTAATTCGTTCGTTTAGTACTTTTTCTCACATGAGTTCAAAAATCCAGAAGCGTATTAAATCGCTAACCATTCTTCAAAGGAATATTGTTGTAAGGCCGCGCCTAATGCGAATGTGGACGCTGCATCGCACACAATTCTCGCTTCTAAATTTTGATCGAAATGTCGGTTTTCTGTAATTTCAGTTATCAGTTTTAACACCTTTTGAAATGTAGATTCCTGATTCGGAAGCCATTCAAATTTATGTTTTCCACTATTTTTCAGGAGAATCCCAATGAAGCTCTCTCTGCGGCCAAGTTGGGGATAAATTTTGTCAGATGATGAATCGAACCCATGAAGCACTAGTTGTCGATTGCCTCCGTTTCCCCAATTATCGGTCTAGTCCTTTCTGCGTTGATTATGAACCCTAACCATTTATCTCGTTCGCGTGCGAACTTGCGTTTAGGCCACGATATGGCCAGGTTTTCCGTGTCGAGTCGGTCTAGAATGCTCCTTAGCGCCGCCTGATGTTCGATTTTCTTTCCTGTTGTGAGGACGAGGATATCATCCAGGAAAGCAAATGTATTTTACAGTTAGTTAGGGGGAAATCGACTGCCTTTTGAAAATCAATCAGTTCATAAAATGCCAATTCAAACTGGTGTGTGCCCGTCTCTCTAGCCCAACCAGGCTGCAGTTGCCTTGGTTTTTGGTTTTGCTGTCTAATGGGATTTGTCCGTATGCATATCTTACATCTTAGGTTGTAATGAAGACGACCCCGTGTCCTGGATATTAATTGCTTGGGCTACATTGTCCAATAGCAGTTGTTTGGAATTTAGTATTTATTTTGTGTATGTATTTTTTTCAAACCAATGCCAGTTGGATTTGACTGGTCCTTGTTTTTGTACTGTAATCACGATAGGTTTATTAAATTGTTTGTCACTGCACTTTTCTACTTACTTTTTGTAGTCCTGGTGTATTAGTTTGTTGGTCTGTTGTTCAACTCCTTACTGTAGGTGGATAGGCACTTTTCTGCCCTTCTGTTGTATCGCTATCGCTTTGAAGTTTTTGACGAATTCAGTTTTTACCATGTGGTTCTTTAATTTTTTTGAATCTTCTGCATGACCCTCTACAGCTGTCTTTAACACAATTCGCTATTTTAGCGTCGAACGATTCTTTTGAGTCGATATTTAGGACCATCTGGTGTCGCGGTTGTTCTGGTGTAGTTTTATCCCGATTTTGGGGATGATGTTTCTGCCTATGATGCTCGCTGTGACAAACCACTACTATAAACTGTGCTGAGTGTACTACTCATCTTCCCGATTCGATTGGTATTCTCAGTCTACCTAATGGTTCGATGTACACTCCGCTGTAACGCGCGATTGTGTGCCGCTTCCTTTTAGGGATGTTTGCAGATGGCGCCTGTCACCGTTTCTTTTAGTTTCTCGGCCGCGTATTCATTTAGGAAGGAAATTGGACTACCCGAGTCCGTTATGGCCTACTCGGAGGTTTTCAGTTAAACTAGGTATCCGTTCAAATCCTGTGCGGCAAACGATCCAGCATTTTTCTTTCAATTAATTCATTGATAGCCAATACTATATAACTATCTGGTTGCAGTGCTTCCCAGCCGTTTGCCGAGGTAAATTCGGCGAATGCTACCGGCTTCATGTTGTCTTCTTGTTGCTTCTGTGGCTCGTTCACGTCAGTTTCGTCTCGATTATCGACATAATTTACCTTAACTGATCGGCACATCTTTGCGATCACTTCGAAAAGAAGTGCCGATCAGCTAGGGTAAATTCTGTCAATGATCGAGACGAAACTGACGTGAACGAGCCACAGCTTTTTTCACGTTCGCAGCACAATTTGTCCTTTGCTCGACATGTTTGAAGGTGCCTCGCTGAGAACAAATTACATTTGTAGCATTGTTTGTTTTGTCGTTGGTTGGTAATATTTGGCAATCCTCTTTGCCCGGGTTGTTCTTGATTTTGATTCTGGAAGTTTTCCTCGTTTTGTCCACGGCCTCTGCTTGGTCTAAATGATGGACAGTTTCTCCGTTGTTTAATAAATCCTGATGCATTGGAATACCCTTGTCATGGCTTTGAATCGTTCAATTATGCTCTATACCTTTCTCCCGCTTAATGGCGTAGTCGTAGGCTTCTTTGGGTGTTTGTGTTTCTGCTAACAGTTTTTCCAAAATCTTATCGTTTAGCGTATGTGCTTAAAACATGTCTCTCGTCAATTAAGCTTCTGTCTACAGAGTCGGCTTTCAATGCCAGATCAACCAATTCCGCATAAAAAGGCTCCAAGGATTCATTTTTTTTTTGGATTCTGCGAATAAAATTATATCGGTCGAACGCAGTACGTTTTTCTGTGAAGACAACGTCCTCGGGCTCGTCATACAAGTCCTTTGTGGACACTGCTTAGATATCAATATTTGGTTTCCTCTGCCTGAATTGTCTCTGGGCTAGGTTTAGTTGTCTCTGAGTAGGGGCAGCTTTTGACTCTGGTATCCGCTTCATTCCACGGTACTCTTCCGCATAGCACCCCCAACCTATCCGCATTCTCCAATTTGATACGTTTTTCTTGGTTTCTGTATTCCCTATCTTTTTCTTGTGTTATTTTCGTCGTCTATCGGATCTTCTGGTTTTGGTGTTTGTTTGCGTGTAGGTCGATGTCGCAGTAGTAGTTGCACGTCGATATTGTCTTTTGAATACCCACTCTACCGGCGGTTCCGTGGTATGGCGAAACCAGAAAGGTGGATTTGTTCAAAGGATTTCTCTGGTCATTACCTGCTGATTGCGACATGTTATAGTCTACTTATATGTCATAGGTAACGCTGGTTACCTACACCAATCGGAATAGTGTACCACTTAATGTATTGAGGTCAGCTAATAAAAGATGCGTCTCACAGTCTATTGTTCAGGTACAAATAATTGACAATGAACACGCGTTAGACCTTCACTGACTGCATGTTCGCAGTTGCCGTGAAGGTCACCAAACACACTTGTCCTTCAAAGCCGAACATAAATAATTCATTACCTCAAACAACTTAGGATGTCTATTTAAAGATACAAAAATGGATTAACATATATTATATAAAAAACCGGATAGATGATATCCCCTTGGCAAACAACGAAAAAAAAAACGGAGAGTTGGAAAAATTGATTTTTTCTTCTAATTTGTTACTTTTGCGGCTGGGACTTGCTGAGCTATTTTAGGTAGTTATTAGTTCATTGATGCGCGCAAAAATGCTAAGAAAGTCTTGTTACCGTCAAAACAACCATTCCTCCAAAAATAAAGTTTTCTTGTTTTTTCAGCAGAAAACAGCTTCCCAGTAAATACTAGTGCACGGTTAAATTACAATGAGTAAAACAATTCTTCACAAAACCAATCTGATGATCAAAACAGCGCTCAGCGTAATTGCACCAATTCTCTCCTAGTTGGTAAATTTGTGTATTTGAAGGATGGCAAAAATTCAGATTACTATCAAATGCCAGCAGTTTTACTGCGCATAAAGGTGGATCGTCCAAAAATACAAAAACTATTGTCCAGGAGCTCTTCCAAAAACTATGTTTAAACACAGAAGCGAAGCCGGGCTCCGCAAACATCGGCGAGAACACGAAAAAAGCAGCTCTCTAAAGTACAATAAGAAAAAGTAGAAATAAATCTCGAAGTGGTAAGAATTCAGCTGCGTCTCGGATTCGATTTTCGACCTAGAAGATGTGAGTCCCACGCACTAACCACTCAGCCACGTACGCTTAATACATCACAAACAAAAGCCACAAATAAAACAGAGAACAGTTGCTACGAAAGTTCCAATGCTACAGAGCGTGATTATCGCAAAAGTACCACTAAATTAGTGAACACTTTTATTTGCAAGCTAGGTTTGAAAAAAAAAGAAGGTTCATAATGAAACACTAACGCTAGCAAGCTGGCCAGTGTAATAAGGTGAGAGTGATTTCTAATGAAATATTGTACATCTTGAAATATTTTGAAATAACATACATGATGTATAAGTACGTATAATTGAAAAGGTCTTCTATTCTAATTAATTTGAGCTTACAAAAATTAGAGTGAAAAATGATTAGGCATAATCTGAAAATGCAATACTAAAGTGGATATGAAAAATTCAGCACAATGTTTGTGGTTTTTCTCAGGTCGCGATCTTAGGTCCTTCACTATTCTGTATACCATTCAATCAAAAATTCTCCAATTACCTGCAAAGACTAATCCGGAAAAGTCATCCATACGCTCCAGAGTTATCAAACTGTAAATTCTTTGAACTAAAAAACCTCCAGCCAGATTCCGTAAAGTTAAAAGCTCGATTCGCAATGGTAACCGGGTAATTAAAATTGAGTTTAGGAATAGCTGAATCCGATGACAGCGGATAAAGCAAAGGAGTAGGTTAGAAGGAAGAGAAGGTGAAATGTGAAAAAACACCGAGAGGTAAAACTTTCAAAAAGAGCTTAAAACTTTCAAAAAGATAAAAACGCAAAAAAAAACAAACAGTACTGCATTTTGAAAAAATGACATTTTCACCTATCAAACTTCACTCCCAAGACATGAAATTTTTTAAGTCGGCCGCTCTAAACCAATATTCTCAATTGACGCATACAGAAGCAATCACGAGTCACTCATAAAAAGGAGAATACGTGCTATCAAACTATGCCAATACTATGCAACAGAAGTGCCACTGAAATTAGCCATGGTTTTGGGTTGCAAATTGGCGAGTTGGGTTGGAAAAACTTAATTTCTTAATATAACACTTAACTGGTTAGCTAGGCTTGTGTAATTAAAAACTAATATTTAAACTAAAACTTCTTCAATAATTCAGTGATTCAGATAGGGGTTATTTTCCAGTCCCGTTCGTGCAAATAAAGTTATTTGATCTTGTGTTTATATATTGAAAAACTATAAATGGGACCTGCTTGTCTCGTTGTTTATTCTATCAAAGTTACAGTGCAGTGATACTGATAATATTTTTACACGTTTAACTTATTAGCTTGTCAATTTTGAAAAATTTTGTTTTCTTTCCTTCTTGTATCCTAAGTTGTTAGAAACCTAAATATAACATGCAAAATAATTTAGCTTGATTGTTTAAAAAAAATGGAAACTAATACAAAGATCATAACGTCAGAACTATACAAGAACTTACAAAGACCCTATGTCACCAAACTTTTGGCATCGCACGCAATCTATTAGAAAAAAAAAACAGTCCCAAAGCGCAGCTTTTGGGCACATACAGAAGCAGAGCTGTGCTTCGCAAAAATAGCCGGAACGAGACAAAAAAAACAACTTATAAAGTGAAATAAAAATAGAACACAGAGGCGAAGTTGCACTTCGCATTCATAAGCAAAAATATACCGATAACGCTACTGGGAAAAACTGAATGAGAAAAACTTTGAGTCTACAAAATTTCTTAAGTGACGCACGCCAATTATGAGTCTACATAGTTTCTAACTGACACAAGCCAATTATGACGCATTAGCAGTACCAGTCAATTTGAAAAAAAAAATAACGTCAGAACTATACAAGACCTTACAAAGACCCTATGTCACCAAACTTTTGGCATCGCACGCAATCTATTAGAAAAAAAACAGTCCCAAAGCGCAGCTTTTGGGCACATACAGAAGCAGAGCTGTGCTTCGCAAAAATAGCCGGAACGAGACAAAAAAAAAACAACTTATAAAGTGAAATAAAAATAGAACACAGAGGCGAAGTTGCACTTCGCATTCATAAGCAAAAATATACCGATAACGCTACTGGGAAAAACTGAATGAGAAAAACTTTGAGTCTACAAAATTTCTTAAGTGACGCACGCCAATTATGAGTCTACATAATTTCTAACTGACACAAGCCAATTATGACGCATTAGCAGTACCAGTCAATTTGAAAAAAAAAATTACCAAGTAACATGCCTCAATTTATAGAGCGGACAAATTTCAACTAGTATACAAAAAAGCTCATTAAAACATCCGACCCTGCCCAGGTTCGAACCCTCTTGTTTCGTTTCTGGTCTCCTTACCTACCTCTACGCTACCGATCCATGAGACTTGAAGCTTAAGTGCTATTTGTAATATAATAGTCTGTGTTAATATCATTTGCATTCGCTGTACTTATTAGCTGGATTAAAATGAACACTTTCGAAATGAACACATTCTGTCGCAACAATTGCATCGCAACAATATTTGCGACTTATGTTGGAAAAAATGAAAGTTCATACTATAACACAAGCTATGCTTGTGTAAATAAGCCTCGAACTAGTAAAACTTTGTTACGTATCGGATTCGAACTTGCGACCTCGAGATTTGGAATCTCACACCCTGTTCTCTCGGCCACGAACCTTTAACAGTCGGCAAAAACTAGTCACAAGTAATGCAGCTACATATGCTAATAAATTGCCAAAAGATGCAGCAAAAGTAGCACAAAATACAAAAAGACAATTTTGCAAGTAATAATTTTGAATACAAACACCTAAAGGTATCCACACTAATTCTGCTTGTAACAAATTAGAAAGCATAAAGCCACATTATGTATAAATTATGTATTTCAAAAAACTGCGAGATATATTGATTTAGAAAGCGAATTTTCATTGCTGTTATGTATTGTGAAACAAATAGCTTTTCATTAGGTTAATTAAAAATGCATCAACTATGTTATCTTATTAATATTCCAGTTTCAAAGCACATGCTATCAAAAAGCCGTAAAGTCGCCATCGAAAGTCGGAACAATATTTGCGACTTAGATTAGGAAAAAAAAAGAAAAGTCGCACTATTACACATCGCTCACGAAAGTTCGCTGGTTTAATGGAAAATTTTGACCAAAAAAAAGCTTTATTTCGGCGCAAGCTCTCTCCTAAAATTAGTATACACTGACGCAGTGAAATTTAGTTAGCCAAAAACGGATATCGTACACTTCTACCAGTGGGAATCAGTGTAATTGGAAAAGTACCGAGAATCTTTAATTTCCGTTTGGGTAGAAGCAGTACCTTGCACGGCTGTTGTGAGGTGACATCTAGCGACTTGTGACTGTTGAAGGAGGAGTAGGTCCTCGCAGACTGGCAGAAGGTGGCCGATCGCCTGAAACCCTGACTGGAGGAGTTCGAGCCCCCGCCTGCCCTGTTATACTCGGATGAGCCGAAGGAAGACGTGCTGTCACAGTCCACTGCTCTTTCATCGTACCCCTCGTCCGAGGTCACCAGGGGGTCCAGCTGCATCACATTGGGGGCAAAAGGGGATGAGGTCGCATTTGATTGGCTGAACGGGGGAGGAGCATTTGGGGAAACGCAACTGTACACGTTCAATTGTGACCTAAACACAAATAATAAAAATGATTTTGAATCTGTTGGTCAATCAACTCTGTCAATCGAAGGAGCAATAGATAGAAGTGGTTCAGTATTGGGGATACCTGCCCCGAAGAGCAGGTTTGGAAAAAGAGAGAAATCTCAAGTTGTCCCTCCGCACGGAAAACTTTAGTAAAAGGCGAAAGTTTTTCTCGATTTGCGAAGAGACCAGAGGTGTAACTTCCACATTTCCCAAAAAGTAATTAGTTACACTGTCAGTACTTTTAAATTGTAGCATTCGACCTACCAATCGATTATTTTGCAGCTCCAAAAAATGGCCACAATGTCCGACAAGCTCTTCAAAAACAGTCATATTATTAGCATAACTTTTAAAACCACTTGATTGGAGCAGTATTTACGGGACGAAATGCATAATTTAGACGTCGTTCATAGTACTATTTGTGGCCTGATATATGGCATAAAAGACGTTGGTTGCTCGGTTCAACATTTATTCAAAATGGTTGTTTTGTTGAATAAAATTGGCGGCCATGTTGCGTCGATACTGTGTTGTATTTATTTTGACGTATAAATAGTAGCCATTAATAATGTAGCTTGTAGTTGTTGTATCCTAGTCGTGTACTAATCCGATCGATTGCAAGTGGTGTCAAAATGTTTAGCCATTTCATTCCATGGAATTCAGCAGTTGGATCCAGCTTTCTTTGATAGCCTTGGAAAAATGCTTACATACTTTTTTCGCATTCTGTACACTTAACCTACTTTAGTGCACACTTAACCTATTTTAGTGATTGAATCGTTTAAGTTTATTTCAATGCTGAAAAAGGACGGTAACTTAAGAAATTGACTAGTTACAAGAGTCGGTCTGAAATAACGAGAATTTTAAATATTGATGCAGAGCTTGGAACTTATGTCATATACCTATCAAGACAATGCCTTAAATCTGCTGCTTTGTTTATTTTTTCCAATATTTTATTTTAAGTTTTCAGATCTATATTTTTCCTTGTCTTTGAAGATCTCAAATTTCGTCTTCCATTTGATAAAACGGGCAGTGCTCTATAACCCAATTGGGTTCGTTAACTTTCGTTAACCCAATTGGGTTCGTTAACTGTCCCCTCACTGTTTCTGGTGCTTCATATTTAAATTCTCGTTGTATGCATATTTACCATTAACATTGAAATAAATTTTTTCTTTCGTTCTTTAATATGAAAAAAATGAAACAAAATTGCTGCCATAGAATGAAATGTGAAAGCCTCTTGTTTAAATTGCGACAACCACAACGCAGTTAAACGAATCTACACTAACTTGGACAGTGAGGGAGGGGAGGGGGGAGTTGAGTACTCACTCGCTGAGTGGCTGCAGTCTGGCCATGGTGGTGTTTTTCACAGAGTAGTGGGCCACAGCGGGATAGCCTCCGCCCCTGTCCCCCAAATGGCGACTCAATTGACCCACCACAACTGGAGGCACTTCACTAGCCAAGGGCGGCGGGTGCAGATTGGAAGGTTCGTTACTGCTATTGTGGACACTATTTAGAGTTCTCTGCTTTACAGGACTCCGCAGCTGATCAGGAGATACACACACTGTGTCGTATATGTTACCTAAAACGACAACCATACTCCACTTACGTCACCCACTCCCACGGCCAGGTTGAACTAGCAACACTAGGAATAAGGCATTTGTATAGCGTTAACGAAGAAGCAAACATAAGAATAACATACTTTTCAAACTATCAAAATAAAGCACAATTTTATGATTGAAACTTTGAAGATAAGTCAGCCCAATCCAATTTCAAAAAGAGATCGCAATTTGCCTTCTTATTAGCGAATGAGTTTGAATTGATTATGGAAAGAAATCACAATTCGAAAAAAGCGTACGCCAGGCAGAAAAAAATTATTATTTTTTTTACCTAAAACCTTTGGAACTCCCGTAGCAATGTGCTAAAAACATTTTGATTAAATTTTCGAGCTACGTGATTGAGTGAAAAAACATTGAGATTTCACTTGAAAACATTTACTCGAAGACTACAACAATTCATATAGTTTTTTGGAGTCACCTCTCTTCTCATTTAAATAGCTCAATTAAAAATAGGGAAACATAAGCTACCTTAAAGTTCAAAATAGACTTTGAAAACTAAAACTTTGACTATGTGCCGAAATCAGACCGCCGACCAAAAAAGTAGTCTCACGGCCTCGTATCTGCGCCACGGTCACTTGAGAAAAGACAAACACAAGCCACCAATAAGGCAGAAAAGACATTAAAATGAACAGCCAATGCTATATAGCCACCCAATAGTAACTTTTAATTGCGAATTGGGTAGGGAAAAAACTAGTGGATTCCTAATATAACATTACGCTCGCCAGCTTCCTTGTTTAATAAATTATACAACTAATCGTACTAAATCTTAACACAGAGGCGAAGCTGCGCTTCGCAAACACTAGCGAGAACACAATAAGCAGCTCTATAAAGTGCGATAAAAATTCGGCTACGTCTCGGATTCGATCTGCGACCTAGAGATTATGAATCTCGCACACAAACCTTATGAGATTATGAGTCTCGCACTAACTAGCCACAGACGCTTCGAAAATCACAAACACTAGCCACTAATAAAGCAGAGAACAAATACTACGAAATTTCCTTTGCTACAGATCGTGAGTATAGCAAAAAAGCCGCCAAATAAGTGAATACTTTTAACAAACAATTTTATTTGCGAGCTAGGTCAGAAAAAAAGGCTCGTACTAACTAGCAATTCCATTAAAATGAAATCCATTTAAGTTCAATTCAATTTGATGACTTGAACAGGTTCGCAAAAAAAGTAGCAAACAATACTTGGAGATACCAAATAGTTTGCATAGCTTGCAATGCTTTTGAAGAAACTAAGCTTTTCGAAGCAAACTACCACAACAAACATGAAAATTTTGAGGGAATTTTGAAGGCTTGAAATCCTATGAAGCCAACTATTCGAGCGATAAAACTTCAAAATTTCAATTCATCTGATTTCCTACATTGGCGCGCTTGATTATAAAACTTACTGAAGCAGGTTGTTTGCTGTCCAGAAGGTATGTGGGTATATGGCAGACAAAAAATTGAAATGATTTTGTGAAGCGAGCTATCAAGCTTTAAGACTTCGAAATAATTAAAATTACTTGGATAGCTAACTTGGTCAGCAAGAAGTTTAAAGATCTTGAAGAAACCTTTTCAAATTTTGAAACCTCGAAATATATAATCTTTTGATTGTCTGAACCAACTCGCAAAAAACTAGTTTTTTTTTAAGCAAAAAATTCAATTAATGGCAACCTTGGAACAATTCAATTTGTTTTGATCGCTCTCATTGGTTCGAAAAAGGGTGAGGTGCCTGGAAGCAAACTATTCAAGCGATGAACCTTTGAACCGATTCAGTTTTCTTTGACGGACAAAATTGATCAATTGAAGGATAAAACAAGCTATCCTGCCGTGAAGCTACAGCGTTTAGTTTTAATGGATTAAACGATTAGACAATTGCTTATTTTGTTGAGGCAAAAGAGGAGTATTAAAAATTTGAAAAATTTCAATTTAAGTTGATAGGTTGAAATAATTAGCCATAAATTCAAATTTTTTCCGTAAATGAAGCTTTGACAAATGACTTTTTCTGATGGCACAAGAGATTAAAACATGGAACATTTCAAATTATTCCGATAAACAACCTGATTAATATAAAGTCAACTACTTAAATGCGTCTGACCCATATCTCGCCATTTTCAAGTAGAATTGATCCGGTCGTAATGAAAAATCATGTATCACAAGCACGCTTAACGGAGTAGAGTAGTTAAGGTTGCCTGAACGGCTCGATGGTCCCATTATTATCACTACTAATGCGTTTATTGTCCGTTTTCCCCTTGTGGAGGGGGTTGGACAGCCGGAAAGCGCGTAAGGAAGGGTTCAGATTGGGGCATTCTGAAGAGTATTCAAGCTCTTTAAGGGAGGAGAACACGTTTTCCCATGCCGTTCGATCGAGGCAGTCTGTGGATTTGAGGCCTAAGCATATTGCATGGTACCATGTAACGAGTTTTTCGTAGCTTCTTCAATTACTGTTATAAATAACAATGGGCCAAGTGCCGATCCTTGACGCACGCCTATTTTAATTTCGAAGTAATCACTGCATCCTAGGGGCCGGCGAACTCTGGTTTTCGACTCGGTATACATGCACAAAATAGAAGTACCAGAATTTCGGGATTTCTCTGTTGCCCCAGAGCTCATGGTATCAGTTACTTGGGCACAAGGTGAAAGGCTTTTTCGAGATCAACAAATATGTGATGCAGGGTATATATTTTTTGCAAACAGTTCCTTCAATTGTCTAATGAGAAAAACGGCATCGGTAGTTGATCTGCCACCCATAAAGCCAAATTACATGTCATCCATATTTATCAGTTGTCCCAATTTTTTTTAATGCTTTTTCGAAAATTTTAAACGTGTGTTCCAGTAATCGGATGCCTCTGTAGGACTCACATTCAAACGGGATCGCCTTTTCCTTCGTAAAAAAAATAAGTTTCATTTTCGCTCTAGTCGGAGGAGTCTTGACCAGAGTCCCAGACTTCCTTAAGGACTTCAAAAAGTCCAGCAAGTCCACAATCGCCGTCAATTTCATCATGTTCGAAGTTAGCCCTGTTGGTCCTGGGCTTTTCTTGTTTTTCACCTCTCTCAGCGGAAGTGCCATTTCCTGGATAGTAAATTCCTCCAATGGGCCAGCCACTGGGGGATATCTTCCGTATCAAACGGATACGTTCAATTTAGAAGATTTCAGAAGTGGAACATATCAGGAATTTCCATCACATTGCATGAACTTGCTCCAAATACATTTTTTTGATCATTTTTTTTTACTTGGCAGGCCGAACATTTTATGTCGTACCACCGTTTTTGAGAAAATTTGAAACTATTTCTGGCTGGATTCTTTTCTAGATTCATCAACTAGCTGTTTCACGAATGTGTTCTGCCTCCGATATATCACCCAGTGTTCTTCATTTCGAGACTGCTTCCATTTTTTAAATAAAAATGTGTTCTTTTTAGCTCCGTTTATTTTTCGTTCTATTACCAAATTTTTCTGTTTCTCCCTGGTTTTCCGATTGTTTCGCCACATACGTTTCTCACTTCTTCTAGAAGTGTTGATTTAAAATGTTCCAAGCTGGTCTGTATTTCTTATTGCCTCTTTGTACTTGATTTAGTTTTCTTTTTCATTTAGTGTCCACAATTTTATTCCTTTCACAGGCTTTGACTTATGGCGGTTAATGTGAACTTTAAGATAGAAACCACACACAAGTTTGTTCTGAGCTGATTACCACATTATTCGCCATTGCAAATTTTTGACACAGTTTCTCTGCGACGATCGATCGCAGCGTTTTTAAAAAAGTTTAGGTCGGCTAGATTTTGTGAATGGCAGAAAATAAGAATTCTTTGACCTTCTAAGCTTTGATTACCAAAAGAAAGTCGGCCAATTTTGCAGTCAATTTCCTGGCGCCAGTCTCCAATATGTCCATCCAATTCACCACACAGGAAAGTATGTTCTTGGTCAGGTAGCATAGTATCTTCTAGCGTGTTATAAAAATCTTTTTTCCAAATCATCTCTACCAGCTTGTGATGAGGTGCGTACGCAGATACAACATTACACACAGTATGCCCTAAGACAAGTTTTATGCGTATCAAACGTTTATTTACTCCTGAATTTCAGTACATTTTCAATAAGTCAACCATTGACGGCTATTGCAACACCACTTGTGCTTTCTGTGTTTCCTTGCCAGAAACACTTAAATTTGAGGTCGCCATCTCCAAAGTGTCTGAGCTGCTTTCTTTGAAACGAGTTTTTTGACGACAGCACCAATATCTTTCTTTTTGCTAGTTTCGCATAATTCATGGCATTTTTAGTGTGCCACCTTCCACGAGCATAGTTGAAACGACTTCTTTTCTAGGGTGGGTTTTTCGTCTTATACATATTAATACTAGTCAAATTAGTAGTCGAAACCGTGCGATTCTTAGCACCTCCTACCCATTTAAGGAGCACATGGGACCACGGGCCATTGCTTGTTTGATTTTCCTTAGTTCTTTGGAGTGGTACCCTTTACAGAGCAGAGCATTCATGAGTCCCAGAATCTTTTTTTTTCTGACATTAAAGGACTGAACTCTGAACCATTCCCAGATGCTTTAAAATGTTGAATTAATTCGAAAAACGTGAAAAAACTTATTTCAACCAGTAAAGAGATGGAAATCGCTTTGATAACTCTAACGGCTTATCGTGAAGTGGATTCTCTCCCATTAAAGCCAATTTCTATTCCTTGAAGTGCGATAGATTGCAGCGTTTTCAGGAAAGTATGCAGGAGGAGTCCCACGCATCACCAATACTGGGCAATTAAGTATAGTTCAGTAATTCAAAAGACATTGCTCGTTCATTTTCATCATTTTTGCATTAAAATTTCTTTGCTCTATTTTGGTTCATAGTTCAATTGACATCACCGAATCAAAAAAACTAAATGCTGGAGGCACTTTCTACATTGAGAGAGGCTGGGAATTTTTTGGGACCCCTCTATCGCATATTCCCCGCGCTTAGTAACAGAAGAAACTTAAAATATCCGAGACACCTTAAAACATCGGGGAGTTATAATTATGAGAGCGCTGTAAAAGGAAAAACTGTAATAATGAAGATCTTAAAATGAAACCTACCCTGCTTTGCCTTGCGCTCTCCTGCCTTGCATTGCGCTGCCCTTACTTGATCAGCCCAGCGTGGTTTTGCGCTGCGCTGCCTTGATATGCTCCTTGCCCTGCCATGCCTTTTCTTCAGCTGCCCTGCGCTGCCTTTCTTTCCGCTGTCCTGCTCTGCTTTGTCCAGCCTTGCCCTCTGTTACGCTACTCTGCCTTGCCTTACGCTTTGCAATCCAGTCTTGCTTTGTGCTGCTCTGCCATGCTCCTCCTTTCGCTTCCAGGGGCTGCCATGCTCAACCCCGCCTTGCCTTACGCTGCCCTGTCCTACCTTTACTTGCGCTACCTTGCTCTGCGCTGCACTGCCTAGCTTTGCGCTGCATTGCTCAACAAGCTGCCATGCCTTGTCCGTCATCCCGCTGATTTTTCTACCCCGCCTTGCGCTTCGCTGCCTCGCCCTATCATGGCTTGCGCTGCCCTGACTTACCTTACGCTGCCCTGCTTTGTTTTGCACCACTGCCTTGATTTGGGCTGCCATGCCTTGCCCCTCTTTCCGCTGCCCTATGCTACCTTACCCTGCGTTTCGCTGTGCTTCCTTCCCTTGCTTTGCGCCACCCTTCCTTTGCTTTGCGCTGCCCTGTTTGTCTTGGGTTGCCACGCCCCTCCTTGCCTTTCACTGCCCCGCCCCTACTTGCCTTTCGCTGCACCGCCCCTGCTTGCCTAGCCTTACGCTGCCTTCCCTGCATACCACTGCGCTCAAGACATTGACCTTTCCAAGTTTGCCTTATCTTGAAAATTTAAGGTGTTTACTCGGATCGATTTCTTAAACGCTACGAATGGTGAGCTGTTAAACATGGGCACCCACCGCAATTTAAAACGACTTACAGTTAAATATAAGATCAGATAGACTAACGCTCGCAAGTGAATTGCCAAACACTAATTTACGCGCATGATACCACTCGAGCCGAATGTACGCGCAACAGAGCAAGCTGTCGCTTTTTGCCACTGCCGCGTTTCAAACTAATTTTCAAACTTTGCGAGTTGTCTCTTTCATAAAAAATTTTTTCGAGACATCTTTTGTTGCGAGTTGTTTTGTTCAAGGACACCCATATAGCACATTTTTAAGCGTTAGAAAAGCGTACCGCTGCAAAAATTGACAAATAATCGCCAAATTTAAAAACTTGCCAAGAGTCCAATTTTGAAACAAATTTGTTATCAGCTTTTACAGCAATCAAACGTTCAAGTCTCAACCGGTATGTGAGTGGATGCAGTCCTTTTTTACTGAACTACTAAACAAGAAAACCAGATTGAATTTGCCATGCAACTACGTGTTGCCGAGTTGTGGCAGTGTTCACCTACCAATAGAACTGAAATTTGGTTGCCCCTGATCCTGTCCACTCTCAGCAGCTGTTCGTCTCAGCACGCGGTCAGGTGTTTGTAGTGATGAGTAGTCCATTCTGTGGCTGCTGCTGGTCTCATTCATCACCAACTGGTACCAACTTGCGGTGCTGCAGATAGGGGGCCCGTGGGTAGGATGACCACCATGATGTGGAGCATGCTGTGCTCTGCTCCTGGACATCTGCTGGCTCCGCAACACACTGGCCAGATTCAAGTTCAATTCAGCCTGCAAACGAAAACAAACTTAACTCTTTCACATCAAATTTTTCTATACGCCCCAGAGAAGAAAAGAAAAACTCCTAGGTCTCACAAGTGAAATAAACATTTAGTTGAATCTCTCGGGGTGTTTGAGAAAACTCCAAGAGCGCCAGCAACGTATCGTTAAGTCAACAAAGAACGAGATATTGAAAGGTGAAAACAAAAAGACCATTAAAATCTTCTGCGTCATCCCTAACTGATAACCAATTGAAATGTAGAGTTTTCCAACCTACCTCAAAAGATCAAAGGACCAACCAGACATATTTTGTTCAGCTCACTGAAATAGGATTTCTTCTACCGTAGAGAGCGGAAATATTCAAATTGTGACTTACAAGGAAGTTTTCAGGCGGACTGTGTGATATGATTCTGGGCCTGCAGAACATGATGACCCTAAGGAAACATGAGTCAGTATGGCCATTGTATGGCAGGTCGAAGGCCATGAACTCATTTACTATGAGAGTAGCCGCGCCCATCTCGAAGTCAGTATTGGCCAGGAAATTGGAGCACTGGCACAGCGAGAAGTTCGGATCATCCAGAGAATATAGCTCCACCGAGAACTGCAATCCACCAACTGACTGTAACATCGTCAAGTCTTTCAGCTCCTCCAGACGCACATGTAGTTGGTGATCATGCGTGAACTTGATATCAATTAGCACTTTACACTTGAGCGATAACGAGTGATAACTCGGCTGGTTAGAAGAGCTCTCGCTACTCGAGTTCTTTCTGTGCTCCGAAAACGAAGCGCCATCTCGGTCTCTCATTCGCTTACGATTCAAAACGAACGGCGACGAATGAATGTTCTCGTAGACAGCAACTCCGCTGTCGTCTCTCTCATGTCGGATACTCGGCGACGACCTCAGAATCTGCTCGTCTTCGTAAACTACTGATTCGTAATGTGCCTCGGCTCTATTGTGCTCCTCGGGTGGTCTTATTTCGCGTCTGCCGGGAGTGGGCGGCGAGTATTCTATGTTCTCGTACATACTCTCCCTGTTCTTCGTCGCAACTTCGATCGCCCTAGTTGAAGCATAGGAGGACAACTCGTTCTTGAAACTCTGTGACCTGGGCATCCTTACTGGACTCTGATCTCTTACACTTGATATGTTTCTATCGCGCAAGGATGACCTTGACACAATCTGATCTCCTTTGCCCTGTTTTGAGGTGTAAAAAGGGAACAGGGGTGCACCCTGAATTTCTTTATCAGGACTTACATCGGAGAGAAAAACTGACTGGTTTTTGTCAAATAAAGGCTTGCCGAAGTTATCCAGAGGCATTTGTGGCATGATAGGTCTGGTTAGTTGAGATGGCAAACTCACTTTCGCACTTCTGTTACCGGGCAACGGCTCTGTGGCTGTGTTTAATGTCGTCAATTGAGATGTCTGATCTGTTTCGGATAGGTCCACTGAGAGGTTTTCCAGTTGTTCTAGCAAGAGAGAATATTCAGACTCCAACTCATACTTCTGTTCTAGTAGAGACAGCCTGAACAACAATACAAAACAACTTAACTCATTGAAGTTGAAATTAAGTCAAATGTAAATCATTTTTTTTTCAAATTAATCAAATCAAAACAGCGTATTGTTGTCGGCAGACCCAAAAAATTGAAAAAGCTTCAATTGGCACTGATATGCGAAAATCGTTCAAATATCCCAAATGAACTGTCCAGCACATCTTTGGCCTCGCATGAACGAACGTAAACAAGATGTGGATGCTGTTAGAGCATTGGTGACTGTCTATTTGTGACCACGCACCTCTGACTCATGACCACATTGCATGTCTCCTTCTCCCTTCTGATCTCGTCCCTCAGTCTGGCTATACTCTCCTCCCACCACTTATCCACATCCAATCCAGCCCCCCTCGAGGAGTCCCCTCTGCTGCTGCTGTTGTTGTTGTTGTTGATGGTGGTGGTGGTGAGCAAGTGTCGCTGGTGGCAATGCAGCATCTCCTGCAGCAACTGCTCCTTCTCCTGGATCACCCCCAGTCTCTCCTGGTCCGAGTGGGGCTGCAGGGGGGCCAGTTGGACCAGCAGCTCCTCTATCTCCCCACCCACATCCAACAGTCTAAAACAACAACAATTCAAGCTGCATTTTGTTTCACTCCGCTTTTATGTATGCGATAAGTAGATTGTAAAAAAGAATTCTTGATTTTCTAAATAAGCTTTCTAGTCCCACAACCTTTCGTTTAATTTGATTTTCAAAATTCGAGCGACACATGTTACCCTAAAAGAAAGCTGAGAACGTGTTTCACAATAGTTCGAACATGCAGGCACTGACCTTGTTTGCAACAGTTGAGCAGTGCCGTTGGCCGGACTATTGGTGGGAGTGGATCTCCTCCGAGGAGACTGAGAGTGCAGTTGATGTGGATGAGCATCATGATATGCAGAAGAAGGAGAAGATGCTGATGATGATGAAGGTGGATATGAAAGTGAAGACACAGTCGGACCAGTTGATGAAGCTTGCGTCGATGCATTATTGTGCATCATTAGCAGCGATTTCTCCTTAAGTAAGTGACTGAAACATAACGCACAGTAAAAACTAAATCCGACATCAAAAAGGAGACATGTTTATAGAACAGATTTTTAAGCTCAGATAACGGATTTATCCTCCGAATCGTGTTGATAATAAACAAGGATAGCCAGTTGATATTCCGACCATAAAAACAGTCTATTTTCAAATTGTGTCAATTTTGTTTGTGGTATGACGTGTGGATCTGAATGAAAGCCTAGAAACTAGGCATATTCGTCAGCAGGTTTTTTTTTCAAAAAATGAATGAGAAAAAAATTGAGGGCGCTGAAAGTAACTTCCAAAACTGGAATAAAATCTCTTTTTGGAGAAAATCTGATGTTTTAAGGCTAAAAGGATAGATTATCGCCCGATTATAAAGCTGCTCGCTCGTTTCATTCTATACAAATTAGACTGAAAATCAAAAATTCAAACCTTTTTTGTCGACACTGGGAAAAAGTTTTGAAACTTTTGTACTTCTAAAAAAAGTTTGTTCGAATCACGACTGAAAAGGCTTTAATTGATATGTCACTTCACACATTCCTATGATCATTTGTGGTACCTGATTTTGCGATAAAAATCCGAATTTTTGCAAATTGGTGTCGTTTTTCTCTGCGTAGTTTGATAAACACATCTGAATACGCATGAGACTGAAGTAAATTTGACAGTTAAGTAAAATATGCAATTTGCAGAAAAAAATTGCAGAAAAATTACTAGAAAAACAAAAATTTTTTTTTTCAATTTTTGCAGTTTTTATCCAAAATGGCGTTAAAAACACCAAAAACTAAATTTCCTCGAGTTAAACTAAAAATAAATAATAAACAAGCATGCTCGCTCGTTTTACGCGCTCAAAATTAGACTGAAAAATCAAAATTTTCAAAACGGTTTTTCCCGACACGTGGAAAGTTTTCTGACATTTTTTAAAAGTCATTCGAGTCACGACTGAAAGGGCTTTAATTGGATATATCACTCGACCCAATCCGATGACGTATTGTAGTATGTGATTTTGCGTGGAAAAAAAATGACATTGGAAATTGCCAATTTGTCTGAAAATCAAAATTTTCAAAACGGTTTTTCTCGACACGTGGAAAGTTTTCTGACAATTTTAAAAAGTCATTCGAGTCACGACTGAAAGGGCTTTAATTGAATATATCACTCGAACCAAACCGATGACGTTTTGTGGTAACTGACTTTGCGTGGAAATTAAGAAAATGACATTGGAAATTGCCAATTTGTCTGAAAATCAAAATTTTCAAAACGGTTTTTCTCGACACGTGGAAAGTTTTCTGACCTTTTTAAAAAGTCATTCGAGTCACGACTGAAAGGGCTTTAATTGCATATATCACTCGACCCAATCCGATGACGTTTTGTGGTACCTGACTTTGCGTGGAAATTAAGAAACAAAAGAACGCCTTCCTCAAAAAGACAAGTGTATACGCAATTATGCAAGCGAGTGTGGTTTGATAACAAGAACCAGATGAGTTGATAAAATTTTAAAACTTCTGAGAGATCTACCCAAAAACAATGTAGCAAGGAAATTGCCCAGTGATTTACAACATACGCGCAAGGTGAGGAGGCCAGGAAATACTCGTGATCAGCCTCATTTAACTGTTAATGGAGGAGAAAAAAGATGGAGGACTGGAGTACCTAGTCAAAAAAGGTTTAAGAGTTGAGTCTGAGACATGCTTATATGAATTTGACAATACGATTTTACCAGTTTCTGGCGGTAGAAAAAGTAAAAACTTTTTTGCATACTCTATCGACCACCATCGATAACTTTTTCTAACTTTCTATTAAACTTCGACCAATTTTTCAATTTACTACTGAAAAACTCAGATATTTTGCTTTGTGGGGACATGAATGTACCAACACGTGTTTGCGAAAGTACATCTACTCGACTTGATCGTATAATAGCATCGCAACCTATCAAGGAAAGACAATTGACTGTTCTATCAGTGATCATTATGCCTTGTTACGTCAAACTGATATGAACGAAGCCATAAAATCTCAACGCGTTTGAATAAATTTCGTCAATACAAAGTTTTCGAGAACCAATTATACTTAATAAGAGCTAGCATGTAACACACCTCCGGTGCTTCGAATTTTCATTAACTCAAAAAAACTATTCTTTGAGTGTACTCTGACAGCACCCAATTACACGGTTCGTAATTAAAAATTTTGCAAAATTTTTCATTCAAGTTTTTTATACAAATTTTGAAGAACCATAAAGTTTTGTACAGTTTTATAGAAGTTCTTCAAAAAATTTAAAATGAACTAAAAAACGTCACATTTGGGAAACTGAAAGCAATTGAGCAGTAGCATTTGGACGCAAGATTTGCAACTCCTGAGAGCACTCTTACAGTACCCAACTACAATGTTGGGAAATTCAAATTTTGAGAAACTTCACCTTAAGTTTTGTAAAAGAGATAATTTTTTTGAGAACCAGAAAAAATCACACCTCAAAAACTACCAAAATTTGAGCAACCTTCTTTGATGGCAACATTCGCAATCTTTGAAAATACACAACTACAGGATTTTTTCAGAGGCAAGATTCGCAACCCCCTGAGATTACTCTCACAGATTCCAATAACAGGATTGAGATCTTCATAGTTTTGGAAATTTTTATTATTTAAGTTTTTTAGAAAAATTCGGAGAACATCATAAAAAACGTCATATCTCGATAACTACCAAGATTTGAGCAGTCATATTTGGCGGCGACGTTCTTTACTTATGTGAGTTACCTCACAGAGCCTCACTACAGATATGGGAATTTCAAGTTTTGTAAAATTTTTTATATCTAATTTTTTCTGAAAAATTTTGAAAAAATCCAAAAAAAGAACGTCATATCTCGAAAACTACAACAATTTGAGCAGCCATAATCAAAGGCAAGATTCGCAACCCCAGAGATTACCCTCACAATATCCAACAACAGGATTGAGATCATTAACTTTTTGGAGTTTTTTAAATCTAAGTTTTTTGAAAAAATCATAAAAAACGTCATATCTGGAAAACTACAAGGATTTGAGAAGTGAGAATTTGAGGTAAGATTCGCCCCTCAGAGTACCCTGGGGGTTGCAACACATGCAAAAAAAAATACGTTGAAAAAGCTTAAACATGGCGAGATAGTGAAGCCAGCATTTAAATATATAATAGATAGATAGATCATAAATGAAAGTTAAAAAATTAGGCGACGAGTAGACAGACATAATCAAATTAATTTAAAAAGCTGGTATACATACAGACAGACTCAATTTGGCCTCGAAAAAAATAATGACTAAAACATGACCTTGCGAAAAACTAAATGAAAAGTTTTCTTGAGCCTTGCAATATATGCTATAGCTTAAACATGAAAAAATTCTTTCGTTAAACATGCAAAATTATTATGCTTAAACATGGGGGATAGCTGTCACTCGCATTTAAATATAGTATAGATATAGATAGATATAGATTATCTCGGATTTAAACACAGATCTCGGACTTAAACACAGATCTCGGACTTAAAAACTTAGTCTAATATTAGTAGGTGTTTTTGATGAGTACTGCCCAATAAATAAACAAAAGCGAAAAAATGTTCATGGATAAAAAAAATGTCTTCGAAAATCAGACAACGAAAAGAAAGGTTCTTCGAACAAAGAATGTTAGTTTATGCGAAGAAATTATACAGAAAAACAAAAATATTTGTCATAAAATTGAAGCGAAGTTGGCAAATGCCAAAAAACCTTTAGGAGAAAGAATTGACTTTAAGCGAAACCCCAAATCAATTTTCGCAGCTTTTTACAAGTTTTGCGGAAAAGAAATAATTTTGTTTTTAAAGCTCACAGCTGATGAATTCAACTGTTTTTTAGTTAATGTGGAAATTAGCAAAAAAAAATTTGCGGCAAGCATCGCAGAGCATGCTTTTGTGGATAACGCACATTCATTTCATCGCTATCTGACTTCAAAAATCTAAATGTCTGAACTCAAAAAGAAATTTCCCTTTAGTCATGATGGTAACTCAATGAACAAAACTTGTGCACGGGGGGCTTCAAGTTCAACTCACAGAAGCTTTCAAATATTTTAGTGTATTTACAAAGAGGCGAATTTGCACTTTGGACACACAAGCAAAAATATGGCCGATAACGCTAATGGGAAAAACTGAATGAGAAAAACTAAGAGTCTACAAAATTTCTCGCTAAGTTACTTACGCTAATTATGATTATAGATAATTGCTAAGTGACGCGAGCCAATTATAACACATTAACAGTAACAATTTATTTTTAAAAATAATTTACCAACTAACATGCCTCAATTTATAGAGCGGACGCAATTTAACTAGTATACAAAAAAGTTAATTGAAAACATTCGACCCAGTCGAAGTTCGAAGCCTCTTATTTTGTTGTAGGTCTCCTTCCCTACCTCCATACACTACTGATACATTCGAGCTAAATTGATTGTAATATAATAGTCTGGGTTAATATCATTAGCATTGGCTGTACTTAACAGCTGGTTATTGATCAAAATAAACATTTTCAAAAAGAACACATTTTGTCGCTAAAATATTTCCGACGTAGGTTAGAAAAAAGATAGTTCGTACTATAACACAAGCTTTGTTGTGCAATTAAAACAAACTTAATAATTAAGAACCATATCGACTATGTATGCAAAAAAATGACCCGTTTCAATGGGTTACTCAATCAAGCTAGCAGGTACTTTTCACAACAATGTGTTTTACGTTTTATAATGTATATACAAAAACAATAATCAGCTATGACATATGCTGGCATACGGTTGCTCATCAAAACCGAAATTAAATCGCATTCTTTTAATACAAAACAGAATCCTTAGAACATTAGATTTCCAGAGTTTACTAACTTTTTCTTTATGAAACTTTAAAAGAGACTGTTATCCAAATTTTGAATAGATCACCGCTTTGTTTCCTAAATATTCCACAGTTTTCAGAAAGACGATTGACTAGGTCCAGAGAAAATAAAACTCTACATACTATTCCATGTCGCACCTTTTGTAATCAATAATCGTTTAATGTCAAGGCTAACAATTTTTACAATTTTTGTCATCAAACAAACTCATAATTGCAAATATTGAAAAAATTTCAAGAAAAATTTTGGCTTGCAATCAATTTAAGACTCTATACATAAACGATAATTCAGGATTTTTGACATGATCTGGAAAAAGTGACCGTAAATAAGAATACTTCTTCTCTCCAATTTTACGTAGGGTTATCCAGAGCAGCTCTTAGAAGAGTCTTCGGCTGGAGATTTATCCCTGTATTTATACATCGTTTGTTGTATTATAACCATACAAAATGAATTCAAATTCAAATTCAACTATTACCACAGAATATACCAAAATATGACGCTCAAATTCTATAAGTACAACCTTTTAGCTGTTGAAAACAATTATGCATTTACTATTTAAAAACAGTTTTATTACGATAGCGAGCAGAATCAAAACGGTTCAGGAGACTAATTTATGAAATGGACCAAAAAAGGAAATGATCATGTTATCATTACCCGTTACATGTTCAAGTTATCATTACCCGTTTGCAAGAGATTACATCTTACCAGCTCAAATTTGCCCAGTTGTTTTGGTGAATATTTAAGCGTTTCAACCATATGTATAACTGATGATATAATTTTTACGTTGGCAAAGTGTCGATGTCCTAGCTCATTTTAGTAGTTGCATAACTGTTTAAACATTTTGCGAAACAAGAGAGGATTGAAATTGAAAGCATTTACTGACCCGATACACTGGTTGAACTTCAACTCGCCCTGTAGCCGTCTGGTGGCCAGTTCCTCCTTCAACAGCTGCAGCCTCTTCTGGGAATGAAGATACTGCTTAGTGAGTGAGGACACATCGAAGCCCACGATGCCCATTTTACTTTTTGTTACTTCTTCCTCCTCGCATCTGCTGCTGTTGGCCTTGTTCACTTGTGAAGATGCCAGAGCACACTTCTCAGGCGTGGTTGGGGAGGATGTACATGCTGTGAGGAGGTTCTTCAAGGAAGTGGACTCGGTGCCTGCTAGTTCCAGTCTCTTCTGAAGTGTCTCAGTGATCTCATTTTTGGACCTGAAGTCTTGCTGCACTGCCAGCAGATACTTGAGTATCATGTTAGCTTGCGTTGTCTTCAGTTTCCTACTCTCTTCTGTTTCGAATGAGGACAAGTCATGCAATGTGGAGGAGGTATCCGATGAGGACGTGTGAAGTGTCCTCGAGTCAGTCTCCGAAGTCCTTCTAGAACTTTCTTGGTCCTGAACTAATTGTGGGGCGGGTGGATCCCACTGAGTGGTCTTACTGTTGTGATCTATGTAGAACACATTGCCATCTGCATCCTCACTAACTTCCCACCCCTCAGGCAGTTTCACATCTCTGCTCCCTTCTAGTAAGGACACCGCCGCCGCCATTGCCATCATGTTCTATTGTTACTCTTAGATAAGACTTGGATTACGCAACAACTTCAATCTTTAAGGTCACATAGCGGACAGCAACTAAATATGGCACATTGCTTTGCCTTTTATGGATAATCGAGAATTTTTACAAAAATGTTGGGAAAAACTTAGAAGAAATTTCGGTATAAATTTGGAAGACATTTTGGATAGAATAACTTTGTAGATAATTATATATTTGTTTCTGTAATCATTTTGATATATTCATTAAAATCTGAAAAAAGTAAACAGTTTGAGAACAAATATTAGAGCAATTGCACACGAATAGGTCATTTGCACAGAATATTAACATTCTCCACATTTTTCTATTCAAATAGCTGACGTAATTGAAAAAATAGAATAAAACTTAGAATTAAATTATTAACCAAATCTGATGGGCAATTAGATCAAATTTACACACTTAATCAGTGTAAAAAACACAATGAACACATAACACAGCATCTATCGAGCGAGTTGTTTCTTTTCTTAAACGAGAGATTAAAAGCGACGGCCGATCAAACTAAACTGCTCAACTATCAACTACACTTAAACACTATATAACATCGCAGCACTTTAAGATCGTTAAATTCGCTCCACTTGTAACTGCAGCAGACATGTTCAGTTCGCCCATCTGTGACTGGAAATCAAATGAGCATATTTCAGATGTAAGAAAAACAAGTGCACTGCAGCTCGCAAGACTGGGAGCACTGAGTATCCCTTAATGCACTCAAACACTTCTCTGCTCACGATTGAAAATATTATTTAAGTCAAGTCTGAAAAACATCTGACAACTAGACAATTCGCTTCAAAAGAAATCAATCAGTTTACAGGTGAAAAGTGACAAAACAACAAAGTGCAATCAAACAGCCATTTGCATCTTGACTGGTGGGTGGGGATCGTAGCCTCTCAGCTCCAAGTGGCCGAAAGTGAACTCTTCAAGAGTGGTGGCTTCCTTCACAATGTGAATTGTGGGCGCATTTCTAGGCGTCCTTTCCAGTTGCATTTTGAGGGGTTCTATGTGGTTGAGGTATACATGGGCGTCGCCTATCGTGTGAACAAAATCGCCCGCTTTCAGGTTCGTCACGTGTGCCACCATAATCGTGAGGAGGGCATAGCTGGCGATATTGAACGGCACCCCTGAACAGATCAAAAAACGGATCTCCGAATTGCTGTAATTTGAAACTTTGAAGAACAGAGAACTACTTTAACTAATGTCTATAAGAACAAAACATAGCCACCAGACAGTTGGAAAAAAGCCAATGAATCAAGTTAACTTAAAAAACCGGACTTCTTTGTTTTTTTTTCGAAAAAAAAATCTCATTTTTCGAATTTCAAAAAAATAGATGGCCTTAAGACTCGTTGATTTTCCAGAACAATTTATGATTGACACATTTTTGATAGAATAAACTGAATTTAAGAAAACTAGATCAAAATATAAATTTTTAAAAATCTGCTGGGAAATTCAACGCTTTCGAAACTGGAATCGATAACCTTTTTCGAGACCGTTACACTTTTGCTTTTCAACAATGGAGTTTGCCTCCCTTTTGACAGAAGAAATGAACTGAACTTCAAAATAAATCAACAGTCAAACCTCGAAAAAAAATCATATTTAAGCGTGAACAAATTTTAAACTTTTTCCTGAAAAACAAAAACAAAAGAAATCAACAAGACGTACAAAAGATTATTCACTTTGTTTATTACTTTTAAAAATATATTACGGCCAAAATAAAAGTCTGAACTGCGTTCATCGAACAAACAGAAATAAACTGACATTTTTTGAATTTATTTCCACTTGCGTCATTGGAGAGCGCAATTTGCATTCCTTTTAGTAAATGAACTTCAATTGACATTAGAAGAAACAGCCAAAAAGAATCAAAAGCTGAACAAAACTGCTCGTATCAGGGCAAAGCCCTGAATGTTCCGACTGCCTTTTAAGGTTTATGGAGCAGTAATAACCTATAAAATTAAATGTAATAAAACATAATGAACATTTTTTTGTAAAATTTGAAATTTTTTAATGAAAATCATCCCACCACACGCCATATAAAGAAAAAAAGGATAAATTTTGCTCCTTATAACAAATCAATTAAGTAGAATAAGCTTCTTTCAACCAATTTGGAACGATTTCTAAGACGGATTAAATCTCCGCTTACGCGTTAATAGCGCGAATTACATCCCGCGTTAATTGTCCCAAATTGGCCAAAAAATAATCACAGGTGAGATATTTTTTTCAAATTTCAGCTCAGGACAACAATACCTTTCGAATGATATAAAAAAATTCCGTCGAAAGTGGCTAGTTAAAAAGTCGAAATTTGTCTGAAGAAAAAAAACCCACCTCGTGCACAAATACTCCGTTACTTTCGTATCGAAAGTCGGAACAACAACCGAAACTCAAACATGAACACAATTCTTTCCTAACAGAAGACTCGCTATGATCAATATATGAGAATTCAACACGTTTATTGACACTTCAAAAGAATGCAAAGTAGAACTACCAAATTTCGGGTCTTATCACTTATTCCGCCCAAGTTTTTAGTTTTGCGATTTTGTAATCTTCAATGTATAAATGCTGAGAACAACATACTGATAGCACTGGTTTGTTTAGGTAATACAAATGCGATCACTTTATTCTTAAGCCGACTTCTAACAAGGCCGATCTTTTGAGCTTTTTTCTAATCAGGGTAAAACTCTGGAGCGTATTTGAAATAATAAGTTTACCAAACAGTCTCCATTTTTGGCCAATTCGGCTTATTTTTACTCGACTTAAAACTGTGAACAGATCATTTTATGCTAGTATTAAAATTTGATTTGCTAATTCTAGCCAATCAGATTCAAGCTAAATAATTTTAGTTCAAGATGTTGAAATATTGATTTTTGGGCAGAATAAGTGAAAAGGCAAAGTTTCATTCAATAACACTTAGAACTTTCATAAAGGTTGACGTAGATTTCAGATAATGAACTTATAAACGTTAGGTTCATTAGCTTCACTACCACTAAGAAGTCAGTAGAGCAATTTAATCAACACTCAATAAAAAGTAATTCCATCAATAATAATTCAATCAATGCTCATAATTCGCGGTCAGGTTGTCAAACACAGTTCAAGGACTTGATATAACTTTAAGAACGTATCTATACGCCAAAACTTACAGAGCTGAAGCTTTGCTCCGCAAACACTAACGAGAATACGACAAAAAGCAGCTCTATAAGTGCAAAAGAAAAAAGTAGAAATAAGCCTTGGAATAAAAAAGATGCTACCAGTGACCTAGAGATTAGGAATCTCACACACTTACCACTCAGCCACGGAGGCTTAATAGTCACCAAACACCAGCCACAAATAAAGCAGAGAACAGATGCTATGAAATTTCCAATGCTGCAGTGAAATTTCCAAATAAGGTAACACTTTTAATTACGAGTTAGCTTAGAAAAAAAAAGTTCGTAAAATACATTAAGCTGATCGCAAATTTAATCATCAAAAATTATCTCCGCCTCCAAATCGAAAATTCATATGTTAGAGGCTTGCAATGACCCGTGCTCGCTGGCTGAGTGTGAGGCAACATTACCCAACCAAGAAAACTATCCGAAAAAGTAGCATGTAGTTCTTAAGAAGGGGCAGAACAGCGGTTCTTCCAGATGAGCTGAACAGCTCGTATGGTGATCGTTTCCCTTGTAGATAAATCTTTTGAACTCAACTAGTACTCCGAAAAATGAACGTAAAAACAGGGTAAGATAGTTCAAACTAACCAAGTCCCAGATCGGCAGATCTCTGATACAGCTGGCAACTCAACTCCCCATTGGCCACGTAAAACTGAACAAAACAGTGGCAAGGCGGCAGCGCCATCCTAGGAACATCCGGGGGGTTCCACGCACACATGATGATCCTCCGGGAGTGAGGCTGATTTTTGATCTGGTTAATGACCTCGCCCAACTGGTCCACACCCTGGCTAGTATAATCATCATGCATAGTCTTGTACTCAGCTCCAAAGTGTCGCCACTGAAAACCGTACACGGGACCCAAATCACCCTCCTCCCTTTCTGTCAGACCCTGTGAATCCAAAAAAGCTCTCGAAGCGTTGGCGTCCCAAATTCGGACGTTCTTCTCCTGCAGTTCCTTTGCGTTTGTGGAGCCTCGGATGAACCAGAATAGTTCCTCGGCTATACCGCGTATGAACACTTTCTTAGTGGTTAAAAGAGGGAACTTGTTGTTTCTCAAATCATATCGGCATTGGGTTCCGAATAAAGAGAGAGTACCCGTGCCTGTGCGATCTGCCTTTTTACACCCCTTCTCAATCACACGGCGAACTAAGTCCAAATACTGCCTTTCGTCACAGTCATCAGAAACATCTGCTTTAGGCTTTGAATCAGCCGAATTTCCATTACAATTGGTTATCTCGGACAAAACTCCAGCAACCATTTTTTCAAGGCTGTTTTTATGTTACTATTGCACACGAAGTATATTGCACTATTTTAAATCTGAAAAAAAACCGTTACCTCCTCTATTACCAACTTCTCATTTGCTCTTTCATAGTAATTGATGCAAAACGTGTTGATTAATTTATGTGTTCTTAATTCTGTAACTCATCGGGTCAAATTAGATGACAAAATTTAAAAGAGGTTTTCATAATTGCATTCATGCACTATTGATTCATTGTGTGGCTGAGCAGCTGAGTGTTGACTGAAGTCTTTGTTTCAAAACTGAAACCATGTCTGCTCGAGCTATCTTCTCCTGAAACAACACATACTCGCCCAATTGAAGGAGACAAAACCTCCAATTATAACTAGACACTTACATGTAAATGAGATACATTAATAGATCACGCTCATTAAAATCTTAGATCAAGCGCGAGCTGCGCAACAATTGGATACTAAATTTTGTTAAAAAAAGATTTAACGAACATTTCCTCTTGGCTGTATTCAAATAAATTAACCTTAAACAATGATAAAAACTACTTTAGTTAGATTTAATAAATATAATGGTGCTTCTAATCTAAGTATCAATTTACTCAATAATACATTTAAACCCAAATCCTGCTGTAAATATTTAGGTATTATTGTCGATGAAAATTAAATTTTTTTCCTTATATACAAAAAATTATATCAAAATTGGCTAGTCATTGTGGCGTTGTTTCAAAATGAGATATTATGTAACTACATCAACCTTAGTGAAATACTATCAATCGAATATCAAGCCACTAATTCAATATGGTTTACTAGTATATGGATGCACGAGTTTTTACTCTCTGAAATCAATTCACATGATTCAAATTATTCGCATGATTTACTTTAAAAGGAAGTATGACATCATTCCTAAGTTCTTTTTTGAAAACAAAAAACTGAGAGTCCATGAACTGTATATCTACGAATTGACGAATTTTGGCTCAAGATCACTAAATCGAAGTCAATCAACTTATTTTCTAAACTATGTTTTCTTTGAAAAGCTTTGCATACAATACCAGGAATTCAAGATATCGAAAATTTGTTCCACCATTTTGTAATATTAGGAGAAATCATGTTCGCTAAACAACAGAGGATAAAGTTACTGAATACTTTGGCTAAGAATAACCTGTTACCTGAAAAAGTTGGTTTGATGACAAGAAAAGAAGACTGTTTTTGTCCATAAATTTAGAGATAATTTTATACTTGGAAATCATAAGTTAAGGAAAAACATTTTCGATTAGGTTTTTAATTTGGAAAATAGATACCTTTTATAAAACGGTATCAGATAACCTTTCCAAGGGTTGCGAATCTAAGCTGAAAACATGCCCTCTAAATGTTATTAGCTTCCGAGTTATGGCCATTTTTTGAAATTTTTTTTGAAAATTTCGAAGAAAAACTTCGCAAAATTTTTGGATTAAAAAACATTTATATGCGTAGTTGTCTTAAGAAACTACAGCACATGTCTATACACGTCGTGAAACATGTCGAACATAGAAATTGACGGTCAACTTTAGGTAGTTAGATACTAACATTTAGTTTTTGTAAATTTTTTCTGTTCTTTACCTATGTTTTTCTGCCTTGTTTTTTTATTAATGTGCTACAAATCAAAAAGTTTTTAGATGATGGCTGGGGTCTTTTGGTTACTTGTGGTTCAATGGAACTCGGATAAAAAATGGATAAAAAAAGTAGATTGATTTAATAATATTCTTAGTTTTTTTTAATGTTAAATTATATTTGTTTTTTATCTCAGAACATTATGGGTAGACTCTAATTGGACACGTCATGTGATTTTCGTCTACCCCCTCCATATTCACGTTGATTTGTTCCTTTATGAAAAATATATAAATGATTTTTTTCATTTGATGAATGTAATGGTTTAAAAATGGAGAAAAAAGTTTTCTTTCTTTATGATGGAATATTTTTCCAAACTCAGATAATTATGTATCTTTTTCCAATTAAAATAGTTGTTAAAAACAATTTATAAGTTTGTTCACAATACGTTTAAAACTGTGTTAATAATAATTTTAAAAAAAAATCGAGCAATTTTTATTTCAATGGACTTTTTTCCTCTCGTTTCTATTTTGGGCCTTACTTTCGTTGGGAGATCGATGCGATCCAATTGCCGTAGCCGGTCCCATCATTAGGAGGCGAATGACAATGACACTGGGACCCCCAAATTGTTACCGAAAAGGGATTCGAACCCTCGTGTTAAAGATTTCGCGATATTCGACAACACCAGTTAAAAATAACAGACTTTTCGCTTTTTGTTGCGTCAAAACAAAATTTGAGCAGCAAACCATAATCGTTTTATTTTACTTCGCTTCATGTTTTGATGTGGCGTAATTATCAAACAAAGTGCGGGTAGCTGAAATCAGAGGACTAAGAGCTCAATTCAGATTAATTACCGTTAAAAAAAATTTATAATCCAAGTATTTGCTGAAATTGCCTTGCTGGGCGCTACTGAGAGCGCCACAAAAATTCGAAAAAGAAAACCTTCACACCAAACTTTCACGATACTTTCAAAGAAAAAAACTTTTTGGATTAAATATTTAAGAAAAAACGCACAATTGAGACCATAGCTCTTTCGAATATCAGAGGCGGACCACAATTAGCCGAATCAGATTAGACACTGCATCGCGTGAACAAAATGGTAGCGGCGCATGTACATGTGTGTGGCGTGTGTGTGTACCTCTTGTCTGGTCTGTATGTTGCGCAGAGTGACACAGCCCTCCTGTATCTCGCTCTCACCCACTATCACTGCCCAGGGAATGAGGTTGTCCTCTGCGTACTGCAGCTGGTCCAGCATGCGGGGATTGACCTTGTAGGAGAACTCCGTCTAACAACACAACACAACACCATACAATGCATTACAATACAAACAAACACACAAACAGCCAAATCACAATCGAGTCTTGTTGAGGCGAGCAGCTGTTACATGTTGACAAAACACATCAGAGCTTGTTCCACACTTCTAAACCAGCGCAAATCAAAATGCACAATCGTTCATTGTGTGGGCAAGTTAATTCATTCACGAAATAGTTTGTTTTGGAAACATTTTCATACCTGATTTTCATTTCGATTTTGTTTTGAAATTCAATTCAGGCAACTTTCTTTTTATTCAAATCTGTCACTTTAAATCAATTATGGAACTATGTTCTCGGTGCGGGACTGGGATAGTTTTTTTCTCATAACAAGGCCAAACTTTGCACTGGGTGCCGCACACTGTTGTGTCCGTATGTTACTGGATTCCATAGACAAATCTTTAGATTTCTTAAAGTTTCGTCGGAACAATCTAAAAAAAAAGAAAGAACAATAAGGAACAAAGGCAGCGTCCCTGTTTCGGAATCCGCATAAATATCGCAAAAAACACAGTTTGGATTTGTAATGGTGTTTTAATGTAAAAATCTTGAGTTTACCCAAGTTCCTAATTTTTAGTTTTAGGAGAGAAATTGTTTCAAAATTGTACAGATTACCCTTAACAATTGTGGTTGATGCTGCTGTTAAGTCGTCAGTGATTAGCCATTGGTTCAAAAAACATGAAAAGGAACGCGTTGTCTGAAAACTTTTAGTTTCATACCTACTAAGTCATTTGCGGTTGTTTCTGGGAACTGGGAAAGGAGAAAACGTGACAATTGATTTGATAGTGACAACTGAGCTATGTGGAGTAATGTGGAGTATGAGTTTACTTTGATGCCGGCAGTCCACAACTCATTGCAGAGTGTGAGTCTATGCAGGTGGAATCTCTTCTGGGCACTGGCCACAATGACCTCCGTCTCCACTGTCCTCATCTTGCCCCCCACTTTCTCCATCTCCCTCCTCTCTATCATGGACAACAGTCGCTCTATCCCTATGCTCACCCCCACACACGGTACCTAGCACACAACACCCACACATACATCACAACATACACTTTTCATCACATACATACATGAGAAAGTCAACAACAAACATTTTCAAATTATAAAATAAGGATATGAACTTGAACAGATTGCCCAAACAAAGTTGAAAGATTGACCAAACATTTTTAAAAAAAAATGCAATATCGTTTCTTATTTAAACCAGGTTTTTTTCTAGATTCTTGGTGAAAATATGTGCACAAAATTATCATTGGAAATCTCATGTAAAAAGGCAAGTTTCCCAACTCTTTCAGCTTTCCTAAGTCTGATAAGGTGTATAAAAAAATTTTCAATTTATTCATCAAGACTTTAGATGAAAAAAAAAACACTTCGCTCGTTTTCAATTAAAAAAAAAACAGGTTTCAAAGCGTACACAAAACTTCAGGGTAAAACTGCGAATGAAGACAAAGCCAAATTTTTTTAAACCAAAGCAAGAAAGCCAAATGCACAAAAAAAAACGAAAGAAAACTTCCAAAAGACTGAGAATGTGAGGAAAGCCACCTAACTCTATTACTTGACCTTAAAATAAAAACGAAGCGGCGGGTAAATAATTTTAATACACAGGCGAAGCTGCGCTCCGCAAACACTTGCGAGAACACGACGAAAACGCCGCTCTATCAAGTTAAATAAGAAAAAGTAGAAACAAGCCTCGAATTAGCAAAAACTACATATGCCTACAAATTGCCAATGCGATTCTGCACCAAATACAAATAGACTCAATTTTGCTATTAATATTTTGGAATATAACTTTTAATAAGCTAAAGGCATCCACACTAACTTTGCATGTAGCGAATCGCAAAGCATAAAGCCACATTATTTATGAATTATGCTTTTCAAAAAATTGCAAGATATATTGAGTTAGAAAATTTCTGCAATCGAGTTCTTATTATTGTGATGTTTTTTGGAACAAATAGCTTTTCTTTAGTTCATTTGATGAATTAAAAATGCTTCAACTGTGTTAATTTATTACTATTCAAATGTCAAAGCACATACTATCAAAAAGATGTAAAGGTGCCCCACCATTATTGAGATGCCGCACCAGAAACGTACAGCAAAAATATTTGCTACTTGCTATATTTGATTGGGAAAAAAGAAGGTTCGTACTCATACACTAGTTTCGCAAAGGTAATAACCGTATAATATTAGGCCGAAAACTTCTGATGTTTTCACAGATGTATATTTAAAGTCACAAATGTTTGATAAGCTGAAAAAATTCAAAAAAGTCATGGAAACCGGGCCCAAACCTAAGCCTCATTATCTAATTTACTGAACTCCGTCTCAGCCTGGCAGTTCCAAGGGCCCAAATACGGAAAATTCTTCAAGAAAACCACCGGCGATCAAGCTGAAAAGACCTCATCAAAAAGCTAATGAAGAAAGCTGGAGAATCAAAAATAGTTTTTTTTGTCCGTGATGGCATGTTGTTGTTGTTGTTAGCCCACGCGGGTCGGGTTGGGCTCTTCTGTCTCCAGGTCAAGGAACTTTGCAACCTCTACCGGCCGAAGCCACAGGTCTGCTGGGGTGAGTGGGGAGGGGTTTTGGGAGCAGTTGAAAAGGTGACATGTTGTGTGGGGGGCAAGGGAACAGGTTGGGCAAAGGTGGGAGATGGAGTTGTCGAGGCGGGATAGGTAGGTGTTAAGGAGCCGGCTGTAGCCAGACCGGAGTTGGGAGAGCTTACAGCGCGTGGGACGTGGGAGAGATTTTTCAGAGGGGTCAATCTTTGGGGGAGGGATACAAATAACTTTAGACGGAGGGGTTTTGGCTAGGAACTTGGTTACAAGGGAGGTATGGTTGTCTTTTAAAATTGGTTTGTAGTAGTTAAAAATAAAAGTGGAGACTTCGTCTCGGTCGTCCAGAACTAGAGGGTGGTTTGCGTAGACTGAAAAGTCGGTTAAAATTTTCTGGGTGTCTTCTTTGAAGCAGCTTATAATTGAGGGGCGAAGTAGACGGGGAGGAGGGGGATGTGAATGTATAAAATTAATGGGATGGTGGGAACGATAGGTAGAGATGAAAAATTGAGATGACAGAAGGGTATGGTGGTCTTTGACCGTTAGGATTTCAGATTCACTGTGCAGGTGGGCAGTGGAACTCATTAGATTTGATCCAGTAACAACGCGAAGGGATTGGTTTTGGGCAACCTGCAGGCAATTTATGGAGGTGTTACTTGATGCGTGGGACCATGCGGGGGCTGCATAGTCAAGTATGGGGCGAATTAGAGCTTTAAAAGTTAGGAGGAGGGTTTCTTTGGAGTGACCCCAGGTTGATCCTGCTAATGCCTTCAGGATTCCGATCCTGCGTCTGGCCTTTTCAGCGGATTGTTTGCAGTGAGTGGCAAAACAAAGTGTTGGATCAAATGTCACCCCTAAGATTGTTGGATTTTTGTTTAGGGGTAGCGCCTCGTTATTTAAAAGAACACTAGGTGTTTTATTAAATTCTTTGTTATAAGAGGAGAAAAGTGTAACTGATCCTTTAGAGGACGCGAAACTTAGTTTGCGTGAGGTGAAAAAATCGTAGAGCCTTTTTAGGTAGCTATTGATGGAGTTTGAGGCGATATCAATATTGGAACTACTTGCGAAGGGGTGGAAATCGTCTGCATACGAAACAAGGTTTACATTATCGGGAGGTGGCGGTGCATCATGGACATAAAAATTGAAGAGTGTGGGTGATAAAACAGAACCTTGGGGTACGCCACAGTGGATTATTCGATGGGGGGATGTGTGTTCACGGAATGAGGTGGCAGCCTGTCGACCATTAAGGTAATTACTTAGCCAGCGGACTAGACTTCTTGGGAGGGGAGTGTCATGAACGAGTTCCACAAGTGAGCGATGACACACCATGTCGAAAGCCTTAGATAAGTCAAGTGTGGCCAGTACCGTACGTTTAGGGGGGCGATTTTGGTTAAAACCGTCTGAAATGTAAAATTCGAGAGTGGAGAGAGCTGTGGTGGTGGAGTGAAAAGGGCGGAAGCCGTGTTGGTGTTTGGCGTTGGGGAGATGTTTAGTAAAGATGGGGTGAACGAGCCTCTCCAGAATTTTAACTGCTGGGCAGAGTAAGGATATAGGTCTGTAAGATGTTGATTGTTTAAGATCCTTATTGGGCTTTGGAAGCGGTGCAATTTTTGAATTTTTCCAAATTTGGGGGATAATGTTTTCGGACAAAGAGATATTAAAAAGGTATGTTAAGTATTGAGTAGCAAGTGGGCCGAGATGTTTAAGATGTATATTACAAAGGCCGTCGGGACCTAGCGCTCGCGATGGTTTGCTGTCTGCAATGGCTTGTTTAGTATTTTCAGGGGTAAAAATTGGGCTGTCTGACAGCGGTAGTTTGGCAATTTTTCTTCTCGTTATACGAAGGAGTTTGTCAGAGGCGTGGGGTCTGGCATTGGTGAATTGTTTGTTAAAAGAGCTGGTAATATCACGAGGTGAGTGTATGGGTTTAGAACCAAAAGTAATGGGGTATCTTCCTGCCACGGGCTTAGATCCATTTAAGGAGCGTACCACTTTCCAGAACTTTCTGGCACCAGTGCGGTAGTCGCAGGTCCGGAGGAATTCTCGCCATTTATTTTCTTTGTCCTTTGCTGTCTGTTTCATGAGTCTACAGTTCAATTGGGATATGACTTCTGGGGGGAGGTTTTGTTGTCGGCTTAAATCTCTTTCGGCGGCAAGGGCAGTGGACTCGGGGGAAAGAGAGGGAGTGAAGTGGCGAATACGGCCAGCGGGGATGTGGTGGCGTGCTGCCCTGAGCACCAGGTCCCTCAAGAATTTCTCTCCGGCGGCAACTCCGGAAGGTGGAACCGCTGAAAAGAAACCCTCCTCAATTTCCTCGTGAATTTGATCCAGTCCTTTTAGGTGAAAAATTTATAAAATCATCCAAGGGTAGTTCTAGAAGAATGGGTAGGTGATCTGATCCTAGAGATTTAATTGGGGTCCATGATTTGGAGAGTAAGAGCGATTGGGATAGGAGGGAAATATCTGGTGACGAGAGTTGGTTTTCTGAGTTAAAAGGGACTCTGGTTTGTGTGTCATCATTTAATGGTGCAAAGGTGGATTCGGTTATTTCATTGCTAAGTACAGAGCCGCGTTGATCTTCCTCGATGTTTGAGTTCCATAGTTGTGAATGTGCGTTGGCATCCCCGAGTATTAAGGCGTCCCCAGGTGCAAGTAGTTCGGCAAGGGACGCAGAGTAACCAGGGGGACAGCTCGAGCGAGGGGGGATGTAGAAATTATAAATACGAAGCTTGGATGAACTGGCTACCACTGATATGCCCATAGCCTCTAGTGCTCCATCGTTGTTAATATTTATTTCTTCGTATTGTATCGACTCATGTATGGCTATGAGAAGACCGCCCCCTTCTTTTTCTCGATCTTTTCTAATTAAAGTGTAGTGTGAGCCAAGTGAGGGGTTTCGAGATTTCTTTCTTAATTTAGTTTCTTGGAAGACAGCAATATGAATTTGATTTTGAGATAAGAAAGCAGCAATTTCGGGTGCTTTTCCGGAGATACCGTTGCAATTAAATTGAAGGATTTTTAAAAGGCCTTTGGCGGGGTGTGGTGAACTATTTACATTATTAACAGCAGTATGATTAAAATGGTTGTTTGAACTTGAGTTATTTACACTATTTACACGATTACGATTTGCGTGATTTTGGGAGGAGGAATTATTATTCGAGGAGGTGGGAAGATGGGGAGGGGGAGGGGGGTTAGGGAGGTGGGGTTGGGGGGCGGTTAGGGAAGTTGAACAAGTTTGGGAGTTGGGGGTGGTCAAGTTAGAGGACCTGGTGCCTGGGGGAGGTAAAATGTAGGTAGAGGTACAGGTAGGGCAATAGTAGTCAGGGTGGTGTTGGTTAAGGTGGGTAAGACCACTACATTTAAGGTGAATGTAACCACAGATGTGGCACCAGACACTGGGCTGGGTGCGTTTGATGCGGAAAGAGCAAGGGGAGCAAAAGTAAGGCCCTGGACCAGGGTTTGGATTAATGC